GCTGCCCATGGATTTCCGTCCTCAGAATCTCTCAGCTCATGAATAACATCTCAGAAAATAGTCTAATTACCTGCAATAGGGTCTGAAAGAAGAATGCTCATTTTATAAATCCAATATATAATGTAATTTTTTTTAAAAAATAAAACAACCAGGAAAATATCACAAAGAGCAAACTGGATGTCTCTTGCATAACATCTCTCTGCTTATACTGTACTGGGCATATTTCCAAGGCCTAAGAGGAGAGGGGAGGAGAAAACAACTTCTATAAATTGTATAGATGGATGCTTTTGTGTGGATGTGTGGTGTCCAGTTAGTATATTGGTGATTTTTCTGGACAAGTCCCTGCAGTTTTCTTTGCAAGATTTCAGAAGTGGTTTGTTTCCTAGGGCTGAGAGAAACTGTTTGGCCCAAGATCACTCAGTTGGCTTTGTGCCTAAGGTGGGATCAGAACTTATGGCTTCCCTGTTTCTAGCCTGAAGCCTTAACCGCTATGCCAAACTGGTTCTCCCCATGCATACTTTAGCTCAGGGCTGTCCAACCTTAGCAACTTTAAGACTTGTGGACTTCAACTCCCAGAATTCCTCAGCTAGCAATGCTTCTGAATTCTGGGAGTTGAAGTCCACAAGTCTTAAATTTGCCAAGGTTGGAGACCCCTGCTTTAGCTGATGTGTATTTAAGTTTTATCAAAACTTCATAATGTCAGAATATTTTCTTGAATTGGTAAACGTAAAAATGAATAGAAAATAATATTTGGAGGCATTAATTGGCAATATTCAGTCTCACTCATGCCAGGGGTTAGCATGAACTCAAGTGTTCTTCAGTACAATGAAATGCAGGCTCAGAGGAAATCTATAGACCAGTTCATTTCACCCTGCCCCCTTGTCTGTTCCTTTCCACATGATGGCAGTGTAACCATGCCTTATTTATTATTTATCTATATGGGTGGTATTCTGTAAAGAAAACATTTTCTTCCAAAGCTTTATACTAGTTTTACTGCATTCCAAATAGAGCCTGGGTTCACATTATCATTCAAAACCATGGTTTACTTAGCTAGTATAGTTTCAGTGCTCAATATAATCAATATTCCTCAAAAATAGTCACATTCCATGATTTTGGAAATATAATGCAGAACAGTATTCTCATGTTTTAACTTCAGAACGTTTACTTACGGAGTTAACAATTCCTTGATCATATAGGTAGTCCTCAAATTATGACACCATTTGGGACCAGAACTTCCTAAACCATGCAGTTATTAAGTGAGTCATGCCTGATTTTACCATTTTTGTTGTGGTTGTTAAGAGAATCACATAGTTATTAAGTGAATCCAGCTTCTCCCATTGACTTTGATTGTCAGAAGCTCCTGGGAGGCTGGCAAATGGTGATCATGTGACACCAGGACACTGAAATCATTGCAAATACAGGCCGGTTGCCAAGTAGCCACATTTTGTCCCTTCATGCTGGCTCAGGAATTCTGGGAGTTGAAGTCCATAGGTTGTAAAAGTGCCATAGCTGCCCAACCCAGCACCAAAGTAAGTGCTGAAGTGAATCTTTTGTTCAACTTCCCAGGGTTCTGCTCCCCATATTTTTTTTATTTTGTCTTATCAATGTTTTTATTAAATATAAAAAGAGCAAAATTTTCAATGTCTATATAAACAGTGTGTTGTTTTCTGATGGCATCCATTCAGGTACGAAGCAGGTCAGATCCAGTTTATTTCCAGCCTTCACAAGGTCAGACGGATGATGCTATCTGGCAAGTCTACTCACATTCTTCTCAGCAGCTTTTGCTCTGGCAATTAATTAAACATTATGTTTAATCTCATTATGAGATAACTAACTGTTACTACATTCTTTTATTACTTATACAACCAATAATTATTAACATTTCCAAATGATAAAAAAGAGTATCTTGTAACACTTTAAAGAACAGCAAAAGTTTTACAAAAGTTTTTCCCCTTGGTTTAATGACTCTTCAGACTTTGTTACATAATGTATTTGGCCATTCTGGTTACATTTAACTGCAACTAAATTTTCATTGTCCCTTTCTTCTGCTTCGCCTGGCTCCTATATAGATACACATTATCCCTTCATTAAACCCCACAAATCAGTTCTGTGCTCAACTATGCCTTTATTCCCAGAAGAAATGCATGAAATGAAATGGTCCTGGATGACTGAGAATCTCCATAGACTTGTCTACCTTGAGGGTTCCTCCCTTTTCTCACAACCTTCCTTTGCCCTTGAGGGGGAAAAAATCGCTCTGAAGTACACCTCGCCAGCAGGGCTCGCTCCTCCTCGTCCTATTACCCAAGGTTACATTTGTTCCCTCGTACGCCTTTCCCGCTGTCTCCCGCTGCTCTTCCTACCGAACATGGCAAGATCCTGCCAGCCTTTCCAGTTCGGGCAAACTCAGTGCCTCCAAACGGGCCCGGAGCCCAGCTCTGGAGCCAGGAGAAACACAGGCGGCTGGGCCCGCATCGGGCAGGGTGAATCCACGCCCTTCAAGGCACCGAAGCCGCCTTCCGCTTTCCTTCACCAGCAGCCCAGCTCGCCGCTCCATTCCACCCGCTTCCTTTCCTCACCCCACCCCACCCCTTCTCCCCGCGGGCAAGAAAAACTTCCCCATCCAACGATGAGGAGGCGGCGCCAGCCTCCGGACAGGCGTGGAACCCGACAAATGAGCTATAAAAAAGAGGGCTTGGCTCTGCCCCTTTCCTGGAAGGAAACTACTTCGGCTCACTCGAGCGCCAAGAGAGGAGGAAGAGGAGGAGGAGGAGGAAAAAGACCCCTGGTCTTAGGATCGAGCGCAGGTAGAGTGGGTGAGTCTGCTCTTTTACGCCGATCGGGCTCTGTGTTTGCCTTGCGTGGACTTTTTGTCTTGCGTGGACGAGGCGCAGGCAGGGTGGACCCGAGGACACGCCCTGTGGCTCCTGGAAGGCGGAAGGGCTTCGGAGTAGTTACCTACTGGGAGCGCCGGAGGAAAGCGCTGCTCGATCTCTCTCTTGCGAAGTGCAGGGGGAAGCCAGGGAAGAAGGGCCCCCTTTCTCGCCCCGTAAATGTAAGAGGAAGGGAGGCTCTGCCCCCTTTCTACACTGCCGCCTCTTCCGGGTGGAAGTCTGCGGGTAAGAAAGTCGCTGCGCAAAAGTGACAGGTAAGTAACCACTGTGCAACGCCCACACAGCTCTGCGGAAAGAAAGTGACCACGCTCTTTCGCAATAGAGAGAGTTGGAAGGGACCTTGTAGGTCATCTAGTCCAACCCCCCCCCCAAAAAAAACAGGAGACCCTGCACCATTTCTGACAAATGGCAGACCGACAGAAACTAGTCCTCAATGTGTTTGCTTTTGTCTTGGATCAAAAGGTGTGAACTGATTGCGTGGTGCTTTTCCAACCAGGTTTGGTGGTTTAGCTTGAGCATATTCACCAGGTTCTGCCCTATATAGCAGGCCAGGATGAAATAAATTATGGCTTAGTGGCATTTCGGACTTCTGTTACAGTATTGTTCTAAGATTGGGGAGAACTGATGTTTTTGCCCACCTGCCCACCCAGGCTCTTACCTGATCTTTATTTCCTGATTTTTCAACTTCAGCTGCTGAACGAGCCACAGCTGCAGTTAAAAAACAAGAAAAGGGCTGTTTCAAAGGCTGCTTCTCTGCAGGCAGCATGCTAATGACATGCTAATGATGATTTATGATGATTTACAGGCATATGCAACAACATAACCCTTGGGCAGGGGGTTGGACTAGATGACCTACAAGGTCCCTTCCAACTCTGATTATCTGATCTAGCTGTGTTGCGTTATGTTGTTGAACTTGCATATGTCACACTAAGAAAGTGTTAACAAGTGGTACTTGTAATCTGCCACCTGTGTTTAACCTGCACTGGCATAATCACTTTGTCTTCCCCTCCGTCACTTTAATGTATATACCTTCCATCAGTTTAGCCCTTCTATGCTTCTGGTGAAATGTGATGCAGCTGACAAAATCTTATGCCTTTTAACAAAATGTGTTAGTCTGAGAAGGTTCCTTTCCAGATTTCAATTTTCCTCCTGATTATTGGCAACCACAGACTAACACAGATCTCTTCCTAGTAAATTACACCCAGCTTAACATTTTAGTTGATGTATTGGCTCTCCCTATGTAAGCTGTCCCTTGGGTTAACACCAGAAAATGAAGAAATCAGGCCTTTTCTCTGAGCCCTCTCTGTAAGCAACAAACAAACATTTGTCCTGCTATTTCAACTTCTCCCCAACTTGTTGTCTATCAGATATTCTAGTAACTTCCACCAACTGCCAATATGATGTTGCTGGCTTGGTGCATACCAGGAGTTGCAGTCTGGACAGCATTTATAGTCTCTTCCTTGCCCTTCCCTCTGACATTACTCAATTTTTTTCCTCCAAAATGGACAACTTGCTTCCAGACTGTACTAACTAAAGCTGTAACCAAGAACTCCCATAATGTTGTTCCTCATAAGAAAGAAGAGCCTCTGAAATCCGTGTCCCGAACTGCTCATCTTGTATGTGTGTGTTCAGGATTATCTCTGTTTTGGAGGAAAGACCTTTTTGGGTGGATGTTTTCTCCTTTTTGGCCTCTCTTGCACTCTTGGAACAGAGTCAGCATTCAGATGTGGCAAGTTTCTTTGGAGGCATTTCTTTAAACCTGGTTTCATTTGCATTTCTAATATAATATGAAGAATTAGATAATCTGAGTTGGACCCAGCTCGATGCATTTGAGTTTGGCTGTGGATCTTCTCCTTCTCTCTTTCTCTCTGCCCCACTCTCTCTCTCACACACACCTACCTCTTTGGAGAGGGGCTGTGATTCAGCTTTGGAGGCCTGCTTAAAGCTAGACACTCTCGGCATTAAACTCCTCCCTTTGAGCATAACCTAGTCCCAAAGAGAGGAGAGAATCTGGCTGCAGGACCCAGAGGTCAGTGCTCTGTTGGTCCTGAAAGCAGACCAGATTAAAATCTTTCTGCTCTGTTTCTCCAGATCACAGTCTTGGCAACCATGTCTCGGCCCCTCACCGACCAGGAGAAGCGTAAACAGATCAGCATTCGTGGCATTGTTGGAGTGGAGAATGTGGCTGAGCTGAAAAAGGGCTTTAACCGACACCTACATTTTACCCTTGTTAAGGACCGCAATGTGGCCACTCCTCGGGACTACTACTTTGCCCTGGCCCACACTGTACGGGATCACCTGGTGGGCAGGTGGATCCGCACCCAGCAATACTACTACGAAAAGGACCCCAAGGTGAGACACATAAAGTGGGAGAGATTGGGAAGCTAAAAATTCATTGGTTAGCATAAATGGTCAAGCGTTTTATGCAAGTCTTCATTCAGCATGGAACATGTTCTATGGGACTATGAGGTGACACACTCAATCATGTTCTGTGAATGACAGTTGTCTCTGTTGACATTTAGAAGGAAGAAGAACCTTGACCCAAATCAATAAAATGAGATTTTTTAAAAGAGAGTTGAAGGCAAGTAAGCATTTTCCTTTTCAAGTTTTGGGAAAGGAAAAAAAAAAGAGTTCTTCATACAAGACAGAATCAATATATCAGTCATGTTTCAAATATCTGGTATCCACAAAATTAGAAGATTTTTAAAAAGATATTAGCCTGTGGTCTCCTCAGTGTGGTAGGTTTACAATTGAAAATGGCTTACAGCTTTGTCCCTATTGGCCAGGAATTCTGGGAATTGTAGTCTCATCTCAACTGGGGCTAGAGTGTAACTGCAGAGGCTGGTAAGTAGAAAAAGACACATATTCAGAGACAGTATATGTTTGAATGGCTTTTTTTTTTAGCAATGTCTTGTAAACTTCTTAGAAATACCTATCTGGCTAGTGCAAGTACCTGTTTTATTTATTTATTTGTTTGCTTGCTTGTTTGTTTACTTAGATGAACTCAATCTGATTAAATGAGATCCCCATGTAGATAGAAATCCCTTATCTAAATGATCAAAGGAATTCATCATTCAATAACATGTGTTATTATGTTGTATTTTTAAAAAATTTCATCACAAAAAACATTGGCATACCTGGAAGGAGAAAAAAATAAGACAAGAATGTATCCTTTGTCATGATTTATTTATAAATATGCCAGAAAAGGAAATACGTATTTCTGTAGTAGGCAGCAGAGCTGTTCCTTTTGCATCAGATTTAAGTGCCGATTTCACTTTTTCAATAATCAGTGAATTCAAGGAGAGCCAATGTACATACAGTACAACACAGCAGGTTTACATAGATAACATCCCTGTGAATCAGAGAAACAGTGTATTTAAAATAAGCTTTTAGCAAACTTACCCTCCAAATTAAAATGCAGATTTTGAATTGATTCTGTACTCCCTTAGTTCCTAATATAGAGCTGAACGATATACTTGATGGAGTCAATTAATAGGTTCTGGGAGGACTGAAGTTAAAAATTGTTAAGGCAAAAAAGGAAACTGGGTGAGATTATGTCACATATTATGTGGAACTATGGTAATATTTTAGGGGGAGGAGACTTTACCTTGGTTTTGTGGGGAGAGCAAATTCCTTATTTCAAAATCTATATTGGGGAATGCAAGGGAATGCTTATGCTTGTCTTTCATCTATCACCTTTGAACTGAATCTTCAGGACGTCAAGAAAAAAAGCACACATTTGAGTAAATTGAGTTTAATCAAACCGTGTATTTGTTAAAGGCCTTTATTTACTTCAGCAAGGCCAGCCAAATCTATAACAACAAGATTACTGTTAGGTGTTTGGCTCCTGAGATGATTTTTTTTTAAAAAAAAGTTTGCTTACTAAATAGTAAAAAAGCGGGGGGAAATACTTTTGGAGTGCTACACACAGGGCTGGTAATGAATGAATTGCCTTCAGTTTTGCTAGGCTAATCCTTGAAAGTGATGTAGAATCATCTGGGCCAAAGGTGAGTTTGAGCCGATTTCACAATCTGGTAATAGTCCGTCAAGTGAATCTGTGTGCTTTCTAGATAAGGTCCATCGAGTTCGGCGTTCTTTGTACCCATCCTAGGAGGTTAAAAAAGCAAGTCCACAAGTGGACGATAAAAATTTCTGAAATATACCCAGGAGTACAGAAAGCCATCCTGTACTATCTTACTGATCTAGCCCAGTGCTAACTACTGTGCTCCAATAGCAATGTTCTTCAGAGCTTCTGGATGATCTGCTACCTGGAAGTTTCCAGAGTTTCTTGCAGACCTTGAAAACTACAACCCTCAGAGACTCCAGAGCTTATTAGATCATTATTGCATGTTAATACATGTTAATACAACAAAAGATGAAATCATGGCTGTAATCTTATTAGGTTGTATATTGATTACATTGAATTGCAATTCAAATATTGTCCCAGCTATATAGACTATTGTTTTTAAAGAAGACCCCCAACTAGCATGCCACTCAGTAGCTGAATGAAACTTAGAAACTTGGCCTCTGAGAAGGGTTTGCACCCTGATAAGGGCCCAGAGATGCTCTGTATTCCTTTGATTTAAACTCTTTGGGGTTCCATTGATTGAGATCATTCCAAGGCATTGTTCCTTTGGTGGTTTGTTTGTTTTGCTTGTTGGAGGAGCTTCTCTTTAGGTTCCTCCAAATATGGATGGGTCATGGAATCAGGAGTCCCAGACTGAGTGAGATTTTATTATATACTCTGGTTTTCATTTTTCCTCCCAGAGAATCTACTACCTTTCCTTGGAATTTTACATGGGCCGGACCTTGCAAAATACCATGATCAACCTAGGACTACAGAATGCCTGTGATGAGGCAATTTATCAGGTAAAGAAAGAAAATTGCCAGTCATGTCCTTCTGAAGGTGAAAGTCACATTCTGTCTGATAAACTATCTATTCTGACACCTGTCTAGTTGAGATGGTGATATGGTTGTTCCAGTTTTCACTAGCAATAGCACTTCGACTTACTGCCCTCAACCACCCAGAGTCAATATATTGCCCCAACAATCTGGCCCCTCATTTTACCGGCCTCAGAAGGACAGAAGGCTAAGTCAGTCTTGAGCTGGTGAGAATCAAACTCCTGGAGTGAGCAGCGAGTTAGCCTGCACTACTAAATTCTGACCACTGCGCCACCACAGCTCTTACAATTACACTAGATTCCAGTCTAGCTGGAGGATATGGTGAAGTAAACTTTTCTTGAGCACTGTTGATCAACACTCTCCAGATGTATTTGATCTGCATCTCCCTTAATCCCAGGCAGGAATAGAAGTAATGCAGAGTATAGAAATTATTATAGTAATAGCAGTGGCAATAGCACAGACTTATATTACCACTTCATAGTATTTACAGCCCTCTCTAAGTGATTTACAGAGTCAGCATATTGCCCTCAACAATCTGGGTCCCCATTTTACCAATCTTGGAAGGATGGAAGGCTGAGTCATCTTTGAGCCGGTGACATTCGAACTGCTGACAATTGGCATTCAGCAGATGTAGCCTGCAATATTGCATTCTAATCACTGTGCCACCACAGCCCAGACAGGAATAGTATAGAAATGATAGCAAAGAATAGGATATAGGATAAAAGTAATAGGAAGCACTCATATGTAGATTTGTTAAGTTTCATGTGTCGCTTTTATATTTTTATATCGCAAAATAAAACATCTTACCAGCGGTGGTGGGATTCAAATTGTTTTACCACCGGTTCAGTGGGCGTGGCTTGGTGGGCGTGGCTTGGTGTGCTTTGCCGAACAGCTTTCCCCACATCAGCTGAGACCTGCAGTGCCAATTAGCTGAGAGGATAAAGAAGAGAAAAGCGCAGGGGCAGGTGGGAGAGCTGATCCTGCCCTTTTCTCTTCTTTTTCCTCTCAGCTGATTGTGGAGGATTTTGTTTCTCTCCTCTCAGCTGATGGTTGGCTTTTTTTTTGCTACCAGTTCGTGTGAACCGGTCTGAACCGTTAGCATACCACCACTGCTCCTAGCCCTTACAGCAGTGGCCCCCAACCTTTTTTGTGCCACGGCCCGGTACCGGCATCACAATATGATCCGTGGCCTGGTACCGGCATCAGCACGCATGGCAAGGCGAGCCGAGCGACCGGCCGGCCAGCTGTCCCCCGCTTCTCCCCGCCACCTTCAACTCCTCCTTTGTACCTTTGTCGATGGGCTTCGGGACGGTCGCTCGGCTCGCCTTGCCTTGGGTGCTGAAAGAATCCTCGCACCTTAGTTTTGTTCGAAGCCGCCCCCACTTCGATGAAACTAAGGCGCGAGGATTCCTTCAGGACCCAAACGACGCTTTCCAACCGGCAAAGCTCACCGGAAGCACTTTCTCATCAAAACAAGATGGCGGCGCCCAGCAAACCGGCAGCCCGGTAGAAAATGTTCCACGGACCGGTACCGGTCCGGGGCCCGGTGGTTGGGGACCCCTGCCTTACAGGAGATATAATGGAGTCACCAAGTTCAAGGACATTTAAAGAAGCCACCAAGGATCCAGTGCTTTTATGTATCTGTTGATTCTAAGTCAATATAATTGGCCATGATTTAAAAAAAGAACCTGTGATGGGTACCTATGAGATTCATGCCAACTCAGATGTGACATTTTCAGTTGGTGATGGATCTGCCATCATCGCTTGCTAGTGAGCTTGCTAGCTAGGGCTGATTTTGGTTGAGATTCAAGAATGTCTTCTCCATAGTTTCCCTATTTAAGTTCTAATCTTTCCTATATTAGAACAGTGTCCTCTTCAAAAATTCTTACCAAAGCTGGATTCTGCTCATCACAGGAAATGCCAATCATGGTGAGCATTAAAATTTAAATCAGAGCAAATGCTGCTCTTATTTTGGGGGAGGGAGGTACTTATTTCCATTTGTATCACTTTACGTACCTTGGAGCCTCTCTTAACAACTCTAAGGCAGGGTTGGGCAATGCTGTTTCCTTAGCATGTGGCTTCTAGATCCTCTTTTTGCAGCCCTCGGACACTACCAGCCATGCTTACTGAAAACTGCTAGCAAAATTTCCTGTCATTTTCATTTGGGAAACAAATAAGAAATCCAATGTCAATTCCAGAACGGGCATACAAAACAATTAGAACAAAAGCAATGCTCCTTTCCATTTTCTAAAAAAAATACTCTTCCAAAAATATTCCCCAGCGTCCCCAAAATGTTAGCTGTAAACATGGCCATCAGAATATTATCCATCCCTGCTCTAAAAGGTATAGTGTTTTCTGTGAACTTGTGTGTGTGAGTGTTTTTAATAAGAACATTGTTAGAATGCTTGCTGTGTAGAACCTAACATTCCACGCGAAAGAAATATGTGCAGACTTGCTGTCTTTTTCTTCACACCTTCAGCGTAGCCAGAAGAAAGATATGGCCCCATGTTCACAGCAAGTTAGTTATGAAAACTTATCTTGATCACCAAAAAGCCAAAGAGGATACTGTGGTTTAAAGAGTATTTCTGCAATAAGGCCTTCTGCAATAAAGGAAAATGACTATTTTCTCTTTAAATTGAGGGCAAATGAACTTGACTTTCTCTAAATGGCAACTCTATGTTGCAGCTTGGCACCATGCTGTGGCTCTTCTTTTATAATAAACCTAATTAATTCTGAGCACTTCTTTTGACTTTGCAGATGTCCTCATTTTTTTTGTAGATCTGTTGAAGAATTAAATCCAGTCTACATTTCCGTTCCTTTTCTTTTTCTGTTTGAATGCACTCTGGAGTGATTCCGTTATTTGTAATGAACCACTATGTGAAGCAATGTTTAGAAGGAAACTTCGGAAATATGCAAGCGGTACATGCATATATTGCCTTGCAGAAATTTGACTAATCCATAATAAAATTGTATTTCTCTTACAAGCCTTTTCCCATTTTAATCCTAGCCAAATGTAGTGAATTCCTTCAGAACCACTGTGCAGATAGATCTCTGAACCTGATGCTATGAATAATTGAGCAAGCTTCGACAACCTTAATGGCAAAAGCCTTTCTCATATTTTTTTATTTGTATTCATCAAATTTTGAAGCTGTATAATAGTACAGTGTATAGTATATACTGTATTGATAGTAGCTCTTCCAGCCCTCTCTGACTTTTAATATCCAAGCACAATTTCGATTGGATTTCATTTGTGTTGTGTGTTTTTTTAGCTAGGACTGGACATAGAAGAGCTGGAAGAGATTGAAGAAGATGCTGGTCTGGGCAATGGAGGTCTTGGCAGGCTGGCAGGTAAGCAGTCATTGCATAAACATACATACATTGCATACACATCATTGCTAGGATGTAGCAATGGCCTATTGACAGCCTGTCCCTACTTTTGTTCTTCCTTTAGAGTCAAATTAAGATTGCATCAGGGATGGACAAGACAAGCCATTTGTGGGTTTCATGACTCCCATGATGCATTCATGATGGCCTTCTTCTCTACTTGTCATCCAAATCTGGAAATAGTATTCTGTTTTAAGCAATTGTAATGCTTTTAGAAAGAGCTAAAATGTGTAATGATCTCTCTCTCTCTCTCTCCCTCCCTCCCTCCCTCCCTCTCACTTTCTCCCTCTCCTCTCTCTCTCTCTCCCTTTCTCTCTCTCTCTCTCTTTGAGTAGCACCAATTGGTAGCATGCCACGTAGGCAAAATGTTGCCCGCCAAGTGTGCCCTCCCTGGACCTTGCTTTTAAGTTTTTAATAAAGCAGTGAAAAGGGTGCATGGTGGAATTTTCTAATTTCTTGCCCTTCATCTTATGCTGGAGACATTTCTCCAGGGGCTCAACTCAGCTCTGAAACTTCTACGTCCCCCTATATCACATCTTATTTCTCCCCACTCCCATTAGATCACTCTAGGACCACTTTCTCCCCTAAATCCTTGGCTGAATGAAACTGTGTTGAGGTGTGGTGGAGGCATTGCTGCCCAAGGAGCTGAGCCCAATTTTGTTTCCCTTCCATAGCCTGCTTCCTGGATTCAATGGCCACCCTTGGGCTTGCCGCCTACGGTTATGGGATACGCTACGAGTATGGCATTTTCAATCAGAAGATCAGAGAAGGATGGCAGGTAATTACAAAGCCTTAAACAATTGGAGGTGCTTCCCATCCAACATTATCACTCCAAGTGCTGGACTAGAAGACGATTTTATGGCACATAGAGATGACAGAAATGCATTTTTTCCTGGATCTTTTTATTTATTTTATCTCGACTTTATTACTTTTATAATAATAACTCAAGGTAGCAAACATACCTAATATTCCTTCCTCCTTCTGTTTTTCCCATAACAACAACTTTGTTGGGCTGAGAGAAAGAGGGACTGGCCCAAAGTCAACATTCAGCTTTCATGCCTAATTCAGGACTAGGTCTCCAAGATGATTTTACATATTTTTTATCAATCAAATTTATAAAGCTGCCAATCTCATCAAAAGTGACTTGGTGTGGCACACAACAATTAGATAAAAACAACAAATGTAAAAACAATATAAAATATAAAAATCCATATTAATCATAAACACCAAAGATGCAAACCATAGATGAAGGGAAGATAAAAAATGACCATTTCAACAATGGTAAAATCTTCAGCAAAATTTTGGTTTAAAAGCAACAAAATATGTGCAAGGGCTTTACACATAAGTTAGCAAAATCATTCTGTCCTGTTGCATGAAGTGTTTTATTAAAATATAGAATACTTCATGCAACCTCTTAAGGTTCAGGAGTTTCCAAAATCAAAAAATTCAAGATGCCTATATGAACAGAAACAAGGAGGGAATGAATGCAATTAGCCCTTCTAGACTCTAGAAGCATCAAAGACTAATTAAGAATTGCAGGTTAATAAAATGCCTAAGGAATAAATTACTAAATAAATAAATTAAATAAATAAATTAGAATAAACTAGTTAAGATCCTAGAATATCCAGTCTAGTATCTAAGTACCTTCAGGGATGTTAAAAACATCTTCATTTTGTCATTGGAAGTAGTTATAAAATGTCAATATGTTGGAATGAAGTTGAAATTTTTATCTGTGGCCTTTGTTGGCACAATATTTTTTATTATCTGGTGCTGTATTTGGTTGTGTGGATTTTTCTTCAGATTCTTTGTATGGTGGAATTTATCTTGGCTTTCTGTTGTAAGATGGATTTGTAAACTGTTGTATATATTTTGATTAAAAATGCCAAATGCCATCAGACTGCAGCCAAATTCATTTCCTGCTCTATTTTTGTTCTTTTAAGGAGTATAGTTCTTCAAAGAACTATATAGAAAAGAGTGAACATTTACAGTAAAGTCTGACTTCCTGGATTGTGCAAATAAGAGACGGAGGCCTTGAGGAAATGGGTTAAGATAATGATTAACGAAAAATAATTTGACAAGTAGATCACTAGGGTTTAGGTGAAAGGATTACAACATGGTATTCATTGACTGATTCTTTATTTTTTGTAAATTTTATTTGAGTTTTCACAAAAAGAAAAGAAATAAAACATCTTTTTTGAAAGCAGCATAATCCCAGGTTACATTTCTTCGTACAGACGCAAATTCAGGTTCATGCTCATTTTTATATTCTATTCCATTTCTTATTACTATTTTACATTTTCTACATAGCTTCTCCCCTCTTTTAATTTTCTCAATTTTATTTTATTTATTTCATCTCAATTCAAATCATTATATTTATATTTTTTGTCTGTCCTGTTTCAATTGTCTATTATCTTTTCTCATTAAACAAAATTTCTCCTGTAGTTACTGATTGGAGTATGACGCCTTTATATCTTTCCCCTAAAGTTATAACACTCAATATAATACATAACTTCCATTCGGATTCTGCTTGGTACATTTTTAAACTACACACAGTATTCTTGAAAAAAAAAAGAAAAAATTATAAATGTATATCATTAAAACAACATTCCATTCCAATTCAATTCTATCATTAATATTAATATTCATTAAAGTCTTAACATTTTTCACGTTACTTTTCAATTAAATATCATACTTCTATGGGAACAATTATACACTTTCCATAGTTAATTCCCCCCCCCTCTTCACTTATATTTTATAAAACATTGACTAATTAAAATGTTCCTGTTCCTTCCTAATTCAATTTTCTCATTTATTTTATTTCATTTATTTTATTCACAAACATTTCACTAAATTACACTAACTATTTTATCCCTCATTCTAATCATATGTTGTTTCCAATTTTCTAAAGTTATTTCTATTACAAATATAACAATACAATCTTATGAACCTTTACAGAATCCCCTTTTCAGTTAGATTTTCACCCATTATCTCTAAATAGGTCCTGTTTCTTTATATCTTGCTCCGGACCTTTGTAACTTCTTTTCCTTTCCTTCTTCCCTCTCTTCTTCTCTCTCCCCTTTTTACCCCTTTGTCTCTCTACCTCTATTTCCCTCTTCTGTATTCCCCTTTTCTGTTGCTTTCCAGTATTATACTTATTTTTCGAATTATTTTTCTTTTCTTTGGTTGTTTTTTTAAGTCTTAAATTCTCCATTCTCTTTCCCCCCCTTTCCTTTTTCTTCCCCACATAGAGTTACTTGTTCATTAAAGATGGCTTCTTCTTTGTCCCAGTCTTCTTGTTTTGCAGTCTTTTCTTGTTGTTTCTCATAGTTCCAGATCTCCATTTCTAAGAATTGAAAAATGAAGCCAAAAGAACCCTTCCCTTCTTGTGCATCTTCTTTGTACTTTTTAAGTTCCATTTTCAATTCATCCAAAAGTGATGCCATTGTATAAATTTTTAAACAACCACCCAATTGATTTTAGTCATTCAAGTATAATAACCAAAAATCCAAAAGTCACCAAGAAATCCAAATACACGCAAGCTGTTTCTTTTTGCTCTTTCTTTTTCTTTTTTCACTTTCTCTTCCTGGGGTTACTATTTAGTTGCAAAGTTTCCGTTAAAATGTATCTTTTAGAAGTCTTATTGAAATTTTACTTTAGATTATTTTAAAGTCCAGGCAGTCTCCTCCCTCTTCCAGATCCTGCCCTTATTCTTTTTCTCTCCCTTCCTGCTTATAGAAGAAAAAGTTTTTAATGTCCATAAATCTTTATTGTCCCTTTGGCATTTAGTTATATTTTCAGTTTAATTGCCTATTGATGCCAAAGTGGATTTTTCCGATTTCTTATTTAGGTCTCTTAGTTGTCAATATAAGGAAGGAGAGAGAAGAAAAAAAAAGCCAAACCTTTCCCTTTTCACTTTCTTTCGCTGCTTCCGACTCTTCTTTGGGAGCGATGTTATTTTTTGTAAAATTTAAATTCCAGGGTACCTTAGTTGTTGCTTTTTCAACTTAACCCGGTCAGCCAAAACTTTCACTTCTTATCTTCCTCCTGCACGTTCTTTTCCGGTTGAGTTCTTCTTTGAGGTGGCCATTTCTGACCACCGCTCCTACCGCCTTCGGGAAAGGGAGTAATGGCCAGCTGAGGAGAAGAGATGCGGCTTTCCTCGACCCTGCTGGCGGTCTCCCCCCCTCTTCACCACCTCTACGGGGTGGCTTAGCCCCGAAACCAGCCGGCTCGGGGCGCTCCAGCGGCAAGCCCAGACAGAAACCGCACACAATCGCGGATTCCTGTCTGTCGCCGAAGCCCTTCAAACCGGAAGTCTTCATTGACTGATTCTTGATTAAGTGAGACAACTTTCCTCAGGTGACAGACTGGGAGTTCTGTTGGATCATTGATGTACAGTAGTGAAATTCTCAGTGCAAAGGGAAAATGAAACTATCTGCTCCTAAGCAAGGAGAGGAGAATTCTATTTTCTCAGCTTTGTACATTGATATTCAACTGATGAGTGTCAATTTGCTGTTAAAGAGAGTTAAAAAGAGCCAGTGATTGAAATGGGAAATTTGTGCTTTCCATATACAAGTTCCATCCCTGATCACATCAATAAAATGATATGGCTGCAAATCATCTAGAAGACAAATAAAGACCAATGGACTCTGTTAGGAATAACAAGGTTACCTAACGTAGTTTGGGTAAAATAATATATATAAACTATGATAGTAAGTTTAAGTGTGTGTCACTTTAAACTGCAAAGCATGTAATTTGGGTGCGGTTGTAAAACCGCCATAAGAGGGAGCAAGAGAACCTGCTGGATTTGCTGACTATACTGGATTGATGGTTTGCTAACTGCGTGTTCCCTGCTGCTGAGTTTTTTGAACGTCGAAGGAAGAAAGGAGGTTTGACTTCTTTATATCTCTACTGCGAGGAGATATATTACTGGACTGATATTTGTAAGTTTACTAACCTCTTTTTCGACAATGGACTTTGCAACTGAATAATCCCCGAACGGACTGAACTAGTGAATGATATATGGACTGTTTGACTATGCTAAAACTCTTACTGGAATAAACTATTTAACTAGCACAGTGTATCTGTTTTACTGAGTGTAAGCTACAAAAAACGTTTATCTCACATATTTGCCTGCCTGCCTGACTGCCGTGCACATTCTGCTAGGGTGTATCCCTAACAGACTCTTTTCTTCTTGTCCCGCATAGCTTGAAGTATCTTTCTAATTCTTGGCCTTTTCTTGCTGCAGGTAGAAGAAGCTGATGATTGGCTAAGACATGGAAACCCCTGGGAGAAGGCTCGCCCAGAGTACATGCTTCCTATTCATTTTTATGGAAGAGTGGAGAATACAGAGATGGGCGTGAGATGGGTTGATACTCAGGTAAAGTCCCTTGGAGAAGGAAAGCACATTTTAGTCGTAATAGTTGTGGGGTGGGAGAGTTTTAAATGTTCTCTGCAACCATCAAGTTTAATTGTGCGAGCTTAAGCAGATAATTCCTACCAAGCAAGTCTACTGTGCACCCCAGCTTGTAGAGGAGAATCATGCCTGGTGGCCCAAATTCTTTGCATAAATAAGATTAATATGTCAATGCATCACATAACCTAAGTAGGGGTAGACATTGTTTCAGTTTTGCACTGAATTCATGCACCACTTTTGGTCTCTGGTCTATAACTCTAATAAACTGAACTGAATTGATTTGAATATACCACTTTTTTTTCCCAATAAAATGCTTAAGTAGCTTAGAACAGTGATCTCTATTCTTTTTGGCACTGGAGACCATTTTTGTGGAAGACAGTTTTTCCATGGAGAGTTGCGGGGGTGGGAGGGGGAGGAAGAGCATGCAGCTTAGATCCCTCATGTACACAGTTTACACAGTAGGGTTCACACTCCTATGAGTATCTAACGCCTGATGATCTGAGGTGGAGTTGAGGCAGTGATGCCAGCACTGGGGAGCGGCTGCAAATTCAGATGAAGCTTTGCTTGCTTTCCCACCACTCACCTCCAGCTGTGTCATGCCCCTGGTGGAGACTGACTCTGAAGGAGAGGAGGAACAGCCAACAGGGAGTGGAAGTGTGGCTCCAGAGGTGGTGGAGGAAGCTGGGGAAGGGCAGAGCTGGCTGAGCAGTCAGAGGAGAACCCAGGCCCATCCCCTATCCATCCTAGGGCACGCGGGGAGGAGAGGATCAGGGAAAATCATGGTCTACTCGGGAGGAGAGGGCCATGATCCTCTTCATGGGTTGCAGGTGTGAGATCTGCATAAGAGTTTGGACCTGCGTGCTAACAAACGCTGGAGATAAATTAGTATTTTATTCCTGGATGAGGTTTATCTTGGCCGGTGTTCTTCCAACGGACTAGACCTGGTTATCTTCTTGAAGTTTGTAATTATTTATCCTGGTCTGTCGTGGAATTTTCTTCAGTGCGGTTTGTTTTTGGTTTTTACTTCGTTACCTGCTCTTTGAATTTGAACCTTATTTCTTTCGTTTGGAATGTTATTTTGAAAATAGTTTAATCTTCAACTGTGAACAATTAAACAGTGAAGCCAAGTTGAAGGCATTAAAGGACCTTTATTTATGTTTTTTGGTTTTTGTTATATTTCTGATACGCTCCGGGTCATCACAAGCGGTGCAGTCCAGTTCTTAACAGGAAGATGGAGATCCCTGGGTTAGAATAAACTGTGTCTGTGTTTTGTTTTGTTTTTCGGTGTGGTGGCAAGTATAGATTGAAATGACAATTATATTTCGTAGCTGTTAAGTTTGGGGAATAATGGAGACCAGACATCTGACCAGTGACTTCAACTCTTTAATAATAGTAAATAGAACAGAACAGAGCAAGGCTATGGGCAACAGCAACCCTTTTATAGGGTTATCTGTTACCTTATTAACCAATGACATGTGCAACAAGTTCAAACTTATAACCAATGAGAAATGTCAAAATAGTGGCCAATCAGGGACTAGTTATGCACCAATCCCTAGTTGTTGTATAAGGGCCAATCAGGTGTGCAGGTTTCCAAACCCTGATTTGCATTTATGCTAGTAACTTTTATTGATTCACAACAGTAGCATAGGGGCATCCTGTAAGGTAGTGATTCTCACATCCACAGAAGTCGCAAGGCAACCATAACCGCAAGGAACTGTAGGAAAAGAGCAAGGAAAGACTGGGAGCAAGGAAAGGGAGGAGTCAGCCTAGAATCATTAGGTGTCCACAAACATTCTAAGTCCAGTCCTCCCCACCCTTGAATTCTGTTAACTCTTATCTAGTGCCAATTTAGTGTTGACCATTAGTTGACTAGATTCTTGTGTATAGGCTTGAGCAATAAATCTTCTGAACTGATGTACCTATTTTTCACACCTAACAGGAAGCACTGAATGTTAGAATGGGTTTCTCTAGAATCAAACTCATGTCGTCATGGTGTTGTCATGTCACATATCGCAACTTTTTCCCCCTTCGCTAAATCGGGCACGGGCGTGGCCAGCACGTGATGCATCTGGCCTGCAGGCCATGAGTTTGATACCCCTGCTCTAGAATAACATTCCATTTTTAACCCAATATAACTGGGGCAATCTCTGCCTTTAGGTTGTTTTGGCTTTGCCCTATGATACTCCTATTCCTGGTTATATGAACAACACGGTTAACACAATGAGACTCTGGTCTGCTCGAGCGCCTAATGACTTTAATCTCCGTGACTGTAAGTATTGTCAATGGACTTCTCATTGTTTGCCCGGAGGAAATGTTAGGAAAACTGTTCTCTTCAGGCGTAGGCAGACCTAGTTTTGAAGCCACCAAGGCCCACTTCACTGATCACACTGCCAAAGTTTAAAGATAGTTTCCTCACTGGAAAACAATGATAGAAGAATGGAAAAGCTCATATCTACAGCATTTGTATAAAAACAAATACTTTGAATGATTATTTTGAAGGGATTTTCCATTGGTCTTCGTGCTTTCATTATGGACCCATCCATGGTAGGCTTCATTATGGATTGAACCTTGGCAATGACAGAACTGAAGATTATAGCCCATAATAATCTACCATAAAGAAATAGGGCTTTCTTTACCTAGTCACTGAAGTGTGCGGCTGCAGTTCCTAGTGTGATCAGCAGTTCTCAAACCCAAATACAGATTGGAGAGTGTCAGGGATTTGGGGAAGGACATAACATTTTTCTGGCCTGCTGATAGCTATGAAAAACAGAATTCTGAGTTCCTCTTCTGCAAACTAGTATGATGTCAGATTAATAATGGGGAAAGAGGTTTATTTTTCTGCCTCTTAACCCTCTTGGTCAGGGTTTTTTTCCTTTCCTAAGGAGAGTAGACGCTGTTTTCTTTCTTTAGCAATGTTGCTAAGAAAGTAATTAGGAGACAGCTAGATACATGGATGGGAGAAAAGAAAATGTCTCTGAGAACAGGGATAGAAAACACATGGTCCTCATGTGACTGAACTACATTTCCTAGCAGCCTCTGCGCAGTCAAAGATGCTGGGAATTGGTATTTAACAATTGGAGGACCACGGCTTTCTCCACCTTGCCTTAAATACAGTAGGAGTAGCTCCAAAGCATTTTCTTGGGGCCTAGGGATTGATGAGAAAGCTGGAGACAACTAAATAAAGGGAGAAATAAATGGATAAATTGAGGAAACAGAGATTCTTGGAAAAATTGGTATCACTTGAGGCAAAGGAAGATCTAATAAAGTGTTTCCCAATCCTAGCCATTTTAAGATGTGTGGATTTCAACTCCCAGAATACCCCAGCCGGGAATGCTGGCTGCGGTATTCTGGGAGTGGAAGTTCATGCATCTTAAAATGGCTAAAGTTGGGAAACACTAGTCTATTAGCTCAGCACCAGGAAGAAAGGAAAAGGATAGTCCCTTGCATTTCCTTCCTCTGATGTATTAACACTTCTGGTAAGGGAAGACCGAAAAGAAAAAAGAGCAGGCTTTCCCAACCTGGACATCCAAATTTCTAATCTGTACGACCAATGGCTGAAAGTTCTGGAAGTCATAGTCCCAACATAACTCAAGAACACCAGGCTGAGGAGAGCTGGGATAAAGGACTCCTTTTGAAGAGGAAACTTGATATAAGCAAATGCTTTGTTTCGGGAAGAAGCCCCGAACATTCCTAAAATAATTCTGTGCTAAGTAGACAGGGAAAAAGTTGTTTTATTCAACTCCCACTGATACTAAACAGGCATGCATGTTTTATTTCAACTTCTCTGTGCAGTTAATGTTGGTGATTACATTCAAGCGGTGTTGGACAGAAACTTGGCGGAGAACATCTCCCGTGTCCTCTATCCAAACGATAACGTAAGTTCCAGGCACTGTGAAGTGTTGCCTGCTGGTGGGAGGGAATGAAAGAAATGGGGGCTTTGACCAGTTTACTTTTTAAGTGGGCACCGTGCTAATCATTCAGAACCAAACATGGTAGCAAGTTGCCTCTTTTTGTATGTGTTGCAGAGCTGGTTGTCTTAAGTCAAAGGTCTTCAAACTTGGCAGAGCTGGTTGCCTTAAGTCAAAGGTCTTCAAACTTGGCCAGTTTAAGACTTGTGGACTTCAACTCCCAGAATTCCTGAGCTAACATGACTGGAGGAGGAATTCTGGGAGTTGAAGTCCACAAGTCTTAAAGCTGTCAAGTTTGAAGACTCCTGTCTTAAGTCATCAAGCCCATAACCAACTAAAGGGGATCCATCCTCATTCTAAAGTAGGGTCTGAGAGATCAACCAGGACTTAAATGGTTTATGAAAGGTCAGAAAGTTGGGAGCAGTATGAATATTCAGGGGGATATCGTTCCAGAGAGCAGGAGCCATTCCTGTAAAGAAATGCTTCCTAGGTCCCACCAGGTGACACTGATTGATAGGTGGGACATGTAGCATGCATGCTCTACCAACCTGACCCGATGAGCAGAAACATATGAAAACAAGTGCTCCATCACGTACTGTAACTAGGCTAATGTGCATACTTGTGGGGGTTTATAGATGATAATACACACCTTGAATTGTCCCAGAAGCCAGCTGGGAAATCATGTACTCATGAAGCAATGATGTCATGTGACACACCCATCAGAGCCCCCCCCCCCCTGCATTTTGGATCAGCTGTAGCTTCTGAGTGGTCTTCAAGGACAGCCCTGATGGTAAACCAATCAAGAGGTGGCCAAGGCATGAATGACAGTCTGAAGACCCTTCCAGTCCAGGAATGGTCACACTTGATATGCTTGATTAACCCACACAAAGACTTTCCTGGCTACAGCTGCCATCTGATTTTTGATCCAAGGGACCCCCATTCCATCCCAGATTGTGCATCAGTCCCACATGGGGTAATGCTACTCTATGGATAATGAAATATGTAGGGTCCAGAGGACAAACAAAGGCATCTGGTTTTCTTTAAGTCTGAGTCTGTCTCTCCCCATCTGGACCTGCAAAACCTCCAGGCATTGGATCAGGACTTTGACAGCATCGTTTGGTGATCCTAGGGTCAAGTTATATAATTGGATAATCATCAGCATATAGATGACATCTGACTCCAGACTGATGGATCAGTAGTTTTCATGTAGAAGTTGAACGCTTGTTAGAGGAAGTGTTGCAACACTTCCCCCTAACAAACCCACAACAGAACCACAGTTTATCTCACTGTATAAAGAGGAAGTTGAAACAGAGAGGGACTTATGCAAAATTACCAATTACATTCATAAGGCATCTACAACAACTTATACTAAAAGCATACAATTCCTTGCAAAGTAAAGCTGAAATCTCTGGCATATGTTAACCGTGTGAATTTTTCCACTTATTAGCCTATTTTGCACCCAGACTCTACTGCTAACCCCTAGAAAATATGCTATTTTCTGTGATTATTAACCTGGCTTTCCTGTTTCCAATACTGAGATTTGATTGGGCCATGTGATGTGTCAGGACTTCAACATGCACTCCCATTCAAATCATGCTTTCCCCCACTCCCTTTCTGCTGGCAACTAAAAAGACCAAAGAAGTATTTTTTAGTTGACATTCAGCTCCCCTCACTTCTTGAAGGTTACCTGTACAACACAAAAAGAAAACAAAATTTATTGCAGGTCTAGAACTTAGGGTTGCGAACCCCCCCACAAGTTTGACCATGGGGGCTGGGGGTTCACGAGGTGGTGGCCTCAAGGTCAATCCCACCATGGGTTTTAAGAGGCTACTATGGAATACCGGGTGTATTTTCCCTAACAGTCGGGGCAACTTCAGTTGCGCCATGACTGGGTTGATGACCTTTACTATGGGGAAAAATCCCAAGAACTTTGGCCTCAACTTCTTACTAGGGAGCCTTAACCTCAAGTATTTGGTGGAGAGGTAGAACTTCTCCCCATAGTAAAGGTCATCAACCCAGTCACAGCGCAACTGAAGTTGCCCCGACTGTTAGGGAAAACCAGGGAAGACCAGGGTCAAGGATGAAATGAATGATGTGTCAGAGTTGGTTGACTGTCAGGACTCCAACATGCACCTCCATTCAAATCATAAGTCTCTAGCTGCATCTCGCAGAGTAAAAAAGATTGATTTATTAGGAGTTGGCATGTCGGCTTTTCCCAGTTGCAGCCGACTCTGACACATCATTCATTTCACCCTTGACCCTGGTCTTCCCTCCACCCCCTGGATGTATATTCTCCAATGAGACACATCCATAGCCAAGAGTCATCAATCATGCTCTCCAGTAATATTTTTTCACGTGCCAGAAGCTTCGGTTGCCAAAGCGATTATCTGAAGCACTTAAGGAATGCACTGCTGTACCCCACTTCCTTTCTGCTGGCAACTAAAAAGACCAAAGAAGTATTTTTTTTAGTTGACATGATGGACTAATGGATGTAGGGGATGGATCTTTGATTTTCTTTTGGAAAAGGAAACTCTCAGATTTGGGTTTTCCCAGATGTGCCAATATGACAACTCTAATAAAATGGAACTTTGAGGAAATGTATGTCTTGGAGTTTATTGGTATGGAGTTGGTCAGTTGGAACACTGACATGCAGTTGATATCGTTAATTTATAATTCCTATCCCACAATTTCTGCCATTTATCTAACTCTATGTGATAAATACAATTAATGGACTTTGATTTTCCTCATACTCACTTTGCATTTTTCTTACCCACCTGACATTCTTTCTTCATCTGGCAGTTTTTTGAAGGCAAGGAGCTGCGTCTGAAGCAGGAATACTTTGTGGTAGCTGCCACCTTACAAGATATCATCCGACGGTACAAAGCTTCCAAGTTTGGGACTACTGAAAGTGTCCGGACTGCTTTTGATTCATTCCCAGATCAGGTCATTGCTTTTGGGGTGATATATCTGGGGAGGAATTAGGTTGAGGCATATCATGATCTGGCAGGCAGAACTTGGTTGTGAAGTGGAATACCATCTTGGGTGTAGAAAACCAGTGGGATGAAGTCAGGAAAGCATTAGGCTAAGTGTCAGGATTCTGGAAGTTACCCCCATTTAAATCATGAGTCTCAAGCCAAACTTCCAAAACTTAAAAAGGATTTATTGGGAGTTAAACTGTCCAGCATTGCCTGGGTGTAGCCGACTCTGAGACACATCATTCATTGTCACCCTTGACCCATATTTTTCCCCATCCTCTGGGTGTATTGTAATTCATATTCTCCAATGGGACACATCCATAGCCAAGAATCATCAATCATGCTCTCCAGTTAGAATTTTGTGGGGCAGAAACTTCAGTCACCTGGTTACTATCTTTGAAAACATTTATGGAATGCAGTTTCGGTTTGCAAGCTGCTGCACTGCTCCCCTTCCTTTTCTGTTGGCAACTCTAAAAAGACCATAGAAAAACTTTACGAGTTGACACTAGGACCAGGAAGACCCAATGATCATATCTAGACTCAGCCTTAGAAGCTCTTTGGGTGATGTTGACCAGACACTGTCGCCCCACTCAATCTCACTGGTTTGTTCTAGAGATAAAATTGGGAGATGGGAGTGTTAAGTGGGCCACCTTAAGTCCTAGAGCAGGGGTGTCAAGCTCACTTCATCACTGTGGCATCATGTGATGTATTGGGATTCACCCCCCTTCACTAAACCGGGTGTGGGTGTGGCCAGTGCGTGACGCATCAGGCCCACGCGCCAGGAGTTTGACAGCCCTGTCCTAGAGGAAAGGGAAGTTTTGAGTCTAACAAATACAACAAAAGCAAACTGAGAATAGTTTGATTACTTACCCTAACCCTAACCTGGACTTTTGCCCAAGAACCTTTTTATTAAGATGTTCCTCTGGGAGATGTGTGGGAGTAATAATGGCGGCATGCAATCTACATGGAAGATTGAATGCCACCAATCTACAAGCATTGCTTTCCCTAGCTTGACTTAACGTTTAGCTCCTTACTTCTTGCAAATTATCCAGCGGGTTGATAGATTCTTCTATTCCATTTTCCTGCTTAAAACTTTTCCCTTTGGATTTTTTTTTTAACATATTTTGTTTCTTGGTTTTCCATAGGTTGCAATCCAGCTGAATGATACACATCCTTCCATGGCTATTCCTGAGTTGATGCGGGTCTTCTTGGATATAGAGAAGCTGCCCTGGTCTAAGGTTGGGATTACTTTTCTGTCGTCAGCTCTGTCTCTAGGATTTATAAAACCTTCACTGTGTTTTCCAGGGGCCTTCATTTAATCCAGCTTCCTGCCTAATTCTGTTCTGTCGTCAGCTAATTGTAATCGTATCACATAGTAACAGTCCCATGGTGATGAGGGCTATTGTAAAGCAATCACCCTTTAGACTGCATTCAGTTCCAACATAACTTCAAAGATTGCTATCAAAATCACCAGGCTTCTTACAGTCATAAAGGCAACATGATGAAATAAATATTTACACTAGAATTGTTTTAAAAATTAACAAAAAGGGAAAAGAGGCATACGGGGAGGAGGTGGGGTCCATTAACTACTAATTAATTAGTGCATTAATAAGCTTTAATTAAATTTAGATGTAAACTGAATTAAATTTTATCTTTGGCTTGGCCCAGCCTCTAATTTGGTGGGAGTGTGGCACCATGCAAACCACTTAAGGCTAAGAGGTGGCCTTCAGCCTAGAAGCTATTTAGTTCCCCTAGAAAGGGTTCCATTGTGGCATGGAAGTTCACACTAGCTTCACCTACTGGTTTGGACTGGTTTTTCTAGTTTTATAGAATTGTAAGTCACTTGGCTGAGATGGGTGGCTATAGAAATTGAAAAGAGAAAGAAAGAAAGAAAGAAAGAAAGAAAGAAAGAAAGAAAGAAAGAAAGAAAGAAAGAAAGAAAGAAAGAAAGAAAGAAAGAAAGAAAGAAAGAAAGAGGAAAGGAAAGGAAAGGAAAAAAAGAAAAGAAGAAAAGAAAAGAAAAGAAAAGAAAAGAAAAGAAAAGAAAAGAAAAGAAAAGAAAGGAAAGAGTTGACCATAGCCACCTTCATGAGAAAATGGAATAATATGGAATGGATGGTCTTGTTACCAGATGGATTTAGTTGGTCAAACTATATGGATCTATGTCTACATTCAAGGAGGTGTGCAGTGAAGTATCCCAAGGTTCTGCCCTGGACTTAGTTATGTTCAACATTATCAATATGATTTAAAATAAGAAAATAGAAGGGATGCTTATCACATTTGCATATAACAAAAAGCTGGGCGGGTTGGCTGACACAGCAGAAAGTAGGCTGTGGATTGAGAATAATCTTAATATCCAATAAAATGCACAATTCTCAAGAGTGAGAAATGTAATGTAAGATTTCTGCATTCTAGTAAGAAAACTATATGCTCAGATACAAGGTACGTGGCTTAGGAGTAGTAGTTGGGAGAGGATGCGTAAGAATAATTACATACATTGTTTTCTCAGTTTGCCTTATTATCTTTCTCTTCAAAAACACAAGGCCTGGGATATCACTACAAAGACCTTTGCTTATACAAACCACACAGTTCTCCCTGAAGCTCTTGAACGCTGGCCGGTCGAGCTGGTGGAGAAGCTGCTTCCAAGACACTTGCAGATTATCTATGAAATCAATCAGAGGCATTTGGATGTAAGTAGGGTTTCATTAAACCTTCTCTTTTTTACTTTTATTTTATTTATTTTTGTCAAGCATGTATTAGATAACAGATATAAGTATAAACATGATTATTAATACATGAAATGAATATGAATAAAAGGGAACATTAGGACAGGGACGGTAGGCACGTTAGTGCACTTATGGACGCCCCTTAAAGACCTCTTAGGTATGGGGTGAGGTCAACAGTAGACAGTCTGAGGTTAAAGTTTTGGGGTTGGGAGAAGAAACCACAGAGTCAGGTCGTGTATTCCAGGCATTGACCACTCTGTTGCTGAAGTCATATTTCCTGCAATCAAGTTTGGTGCAGTTTACTTTGAGTTTGTATCTATTGTGTGCTCATGTATTGTTGTGGTTCTCTGACAGCTCTTAATTTTCTGGATGAATTTAAGAAAAGATAAAGCAATGGTTTTATGAAAACTGGCTTCCCCCCAAGTCCCTTTTCAAGCTGGAAAAGTTGGATTGAGCTTTTGATTCAGTCTAGAAATCTCTGTTCAGGTAGCCATATTGAAATGGAAAAAAGTTATGCCAATTGTGTAGCATTTGCCTTTAAAATGTGGTTAATCCAAGGATCCTTTCTTGCTAAAATCCAGACTGAATTGGATAGTTGGGAATGCACTTGAACGGGATTAACTGATGTTGCTTTTCACCTTCACACATACTCAGAAAATCAGAGCCCTGTTTCCCAAGGATGTTGACCGCCTCAGGCGGATGTCCTTGATTGAAGAGGAAGGAGTCAAACGTATTAACATGGCCCATCTTTGCATTGTTGGCTCTCACGCTGTGAATGGAGTTGCAAAGATTCACTCAGATATCGTCAAATCTCAAGTGTGAGTAGTGGTCTGTATTTTGTTTGTGTGTAGCAACCTGGGACAATTTCCTTTTACTTTTGCCAACAGAAAAGTTTTGATTTGATTTAGACTTCTGAATGTTCTACAGTGGGATCAAATTTTGAGATTTAGGGCTGAATTCTGGGTGCCACTGAGTTCATGCTAATCTATAATTTTGTCTGTTGCTTTGATAATTTTCTGCCCTCCCAAACTTTGTGCTTTATAATTAAATTCCTGACTGTTGCCATATGCATTCTTCGATGAAAGACTGCAGGACAAATTTTCCCAAAGTTACCTCATCTCTAGTAATTTGACATCTTCATTTTCAATTTACTTCAGAGTTTGTAGGCAGTGTCACAATTAAACCCACACATGAATAATTTTAGACATTTATGCTAAATATTAAGATTCAGATCTGGGCTACTTTTGTTCTTCTGCAATTAACTAGCTATTCAACTTAGCTTTCCATAGTTACTAAATTAACCCATTTTCAGAGTACCTACAATATACTAAATCATATGCGAATCAAGGTTAAAAACTAAGACTCTCTGCAAGGACAGCCCATTAAATCTACTAGTTCTTTAAATGAACTAATTAAGCAGATTATGTGAACTGTAAACCTTATGTGAGCAAATAAATACAGTAAAGGTCTGTGAAATCATTTTGTACTACATATAACATAAATACACACACAAAAAATGATGCTGTTGCTTCCAGCCTTGCTGTGGGCTTTCAGTCTATTTATGCAAAAAATACGTTTATAAAAAAGTGTAGGCTAATTATGCAATTAGTATTAATTGAAAATTTAAAAGATTGGATGGCCAATGTTTTCCATCACATCTGCTTAACTAGTAAATCTTGACGGTTTTTCCATGAACATTTTTCTTGATTTTTTTTTTTGTTTAGGTTCAAGGACTTTGCAGAGTTGGAGCCAGAAAAGTTTCAGAATAAAACAAATGGGATCACTCCTCGTCGCTGGCTCCTGCTTTGCAACCCAGGACTTGCAGAATTAATTGCGGAGGTAAAAAAAAAAAAAGCTCAGTTGTTCTACTTAGTAAAATTATTATTGAAATAATTTGTATGTGCTTTCTTAATAAATTTTATTTTATTTTTTTAAAATAGTTCCTGATATACAATCAGGCAGTTTCCATCTCCTTTCCAAGCTCTGAAAACAGTTTTAAGTAGGATCTCTGCTTCTGCTGTCTACTCATCTACTATCATTCTGGTTAAATAGTCTTTGTAGGCATCTACGGAGATTCTCAGTCATAGAGGTCATGGATGTCACAAAGGTGCTTTATCAAAAGGCAGCTGGACTTTTATCTTCCTTGAAGATGTTTCGCTTCTCATCTCAAAAATCATCTTTGAGATAGTCTTTGTAGGTCTTGATACCATTTCATAACCTGCACAACTCATTGAATAATAAAAGGAAAGGTGGTTGGTGCTCTCTGAGTTTGGTTGGTTTTTTTTTGCAGACATTTCATTACCCAACTAGGTAACATCATCGTCCATCATCCAGATATTGATAATGTTACCTGTTGGGTAATGAAAGTAAGCTCAGAGAGAGTGAAGGACTTTGCAGTTCAAATCTAAGCCACATATATCGAGCCAAAAATATCTTTGAGAGATCAATATGCTTAGATGCAGTAGGTGCCACAATGAGTATCAGTTGGTGGTGACAATGGAATGACTCTGGATTCTTAAAGCGTTCTGTCTGTTAAGATGATGCATATGTGAAATCTCTTCTTTGTACAGAAAATAGGGGAGGAATACGTGAAAGATTTGAGTCAGCTAACAAAGCTGCATCGGTTTGTGAATGATGATGTTTTCATCAGAGAGGTGGCCAAAATCAAGCAGGTAAGGGGAACGAAAGGAGGAAATGGGAATTTTCCCTTTTCAAATAATTTTCTATCTCCAAAGCACTTTACAGGTAATCTTTCATTGCATTTTGTTTATATATGGCAAATATAAGAAGATTAAAGTGACAAATATAGAACATCGTTTCATTTTATCATGCCAGCACCAGGTTAGACTAAAACAGATAATTTGTCCAAGGTGATGTAGGGACCTCTGTGCTTAAGTAGATACTACTTGAACCCAGTTCTGTGGAAAATTATTATTATTATTTTGTAAATTTTATTTGAGTTTTCACAAAGAGAAAAAAAATACAAATAAAACATCTTTTTTGAAAGTAGTGTAATCCCAGGTTATATTTCTTCGTACAGACACAAATTCAGGTTCATGCTCATTTTTATATTCTATTCCATATCTTATTACTATTTTACATTTTCTGCATAGCTTCTCCCCTCTTTGGATTTTCTCAATTTTATTTTAATTATCTCATCTCAATTCAAATCATTGTATTTATATTTTTTGTCTGTCCTGTTTCAATTATCTATTATCTTTTCTCATTAAACAAAATTTCTCCTGTAGTTATTGATTGGAGTATGACGCCTTTATATCTTTTCCCTAAAGTTGTAACATTCAATATAATACATAACTTCCATTCGGATTCTGCTTGGTACATTCTTAAAATACACACTGTATTCTTAAAAAAAGAAAAAAATATAAATGTATATAATTAAAACAACATTCCATTCCAATTCAATTCTATCATTAATATTAATATTCATTAAAGTCTTAACATCTTTAACATTACTTTTCAATTAAATATCATACTTCTATGGGAACAATTATAAGCTTTCCATAGTTAATTCCCCCCCCCTCTTCACTTATATTTTATAAAACATTAACTAATTAAAATGTTCCTGTTCCTTCCTAATTCAATTTTCTCATTTATTTTATTTCACTTATTTTATTCACAAACATTTCACTAAATTACACTAACTATTTTATCCCTCATTTTAATCGTACGTTGTTTCCAATTTTCTAAAGTTATTTCTATTACTAATATAACAATACAATCTTATGAACCTTTACAGAATCCCTTTTTCAGTTAGATTTTCACCCATTATCTCTAAATAGGTCCTGTTTCTCTATATCTTGCTCCGGTCCTTTGTAACTTCTTTTCCTTTCCTTCTTCCCTCTCTTCTTCTCTCTCCCCTTTTACCCCCTTGTCTCTCTACCTCTATTTCCCTCTTCTGTATTCCCCTTTTCTGTTGCTTTCCAGTGTTATACTTATTTTTCGAATTATTTTTCTTTTCTTTGGTTGTTTTTTTAAGTCTTAAATTCTCCATTCTCTTTCCCCCCTTTCCTTTTTCTTCCCCACCTAAAATTCATGTTCATTAAAGATGGCTTCTTCTTTGTCCCAATCTTTTTGTTTTGCAGTCTTTTCTTGTTGTTTCTCATAGTTCCAAATCTCCATTTCTAAGAATTGAAAAACGAAACCAAAAGAACCCTTCCCTTCTTGTGCATCTTTTTTGTACTTTTTAAGTTCCATTTTCAATTCATCCAGAAGTGGTGCCATTGTATAAATTTTTAAACAACCACCCGATTGATTTTAGTCATTCAAATATAATAACCAAGAATCCAAAGATCACCAAATAATCCAAATACATGCAAGCTGTTTCTTTTTTGCTCTTTTTTTTCACTTTCTCTTCCTGGGGTTACTATTTAGTTGCAAAGTTTCAGTTAAAATGTATCTTTTAGAAGTCTTGTTGAAGTTTTACTGTAGATTCTTTTTAATTCCAGGCAGTCTCCTCCCTCTTCCAGATCCTGCCCTTATTCTTTTTCTCTCCCTTCCTGCTTATGAAAAAGAAAAATTTTAATGTCCAGAAATCTTTATTATCCCTTTGGCATTTAGTTTTATTTTCAGCTTAATTGCATATTGATGTCAAAGCGGATTTTTCCGATTTCTTATTTAAGTCTCTTAGTTCTCAGTATAGGGAAGGAGAGAGAAGGGGAAAAAAAAAGCCAAACCTTTCCCTTTTCACTTTCCTTCGCTGCTTCCGACTCTTCTTTGGGAGCGATGTTATTTTTTGTAAGTTTAAATTCCAGGGTACCTTAGTTGTTACTTTTACAATTGAACCCGGTCAGCCAAAACTTTCACTTCTTATCTTCCTCCTGCACATTCTTTTCCGGTCGAGTTCTCCTTTGGGGTGGCCATTTCTAACCACTGCTGCAACCGCCTTCGGGAAAGGGAGTAATGGCCAGCTGAGGAGGAGAGATGCGGCTCTCCTCAACCCTGCTGGTGGTCTCCCCCCTCTTCACCACCTCTACAGGGTGGCTTAGCCCCGAAACCAGCCGGCTCGGGGCGCTCCAGCAGCGAGCCCAGACCGAAACCGCTCACGATCACTGATTTCTGTTTGTCGCCGAAGCCCTTCAAACCGGAAGTCTCCTCTGGAAAATTATTGTATAGAGAAAGAATTAGAAGATACATGTAAGTTGATCGTTGCTTGGTAGGAAATCTGGAGAGTATCAGGTTTTGGAAAACTGCAACAAGACTTTCAGAAAAGCTTTGGAGTGAACTGATAAGGGCCATTTAAGAGGCACTGTTGAGCAAGTCTGTCATATTTCTTCTTTTCTGCTTATCAGAGGGAATACAAATCTCAGGGAAGACTCACATTTGGTCTTTCACAAAGTACAACACACTTTCTACCAAAGCATGTTGGTGTGGGCAGGCTACAACAACATGCATATACACAAACAAGAAAATAATAGCTGGTTAAGTTTCTGCATTCTCCATAGGTGAAGTACAAGTGGTTATGGGTCTCACAGCCCAATGACTAGATGAGAGGAAGCAGCCTCCACAGCGGACCAATTGAAAGCCAACTGGAGAATACCAAACTCCAAAAATATTTCCTGCATGCAACAGAATGTCCATATAGGAGGCCTTCATTTTCCTGAAGAAAACGTTATGCTCAAGCTGTAGTACTTCAGAATACTTCATCTTTCCTCACTAGTGGGCTGGTTACAAAATGGAAGTAGTGTTTCAAAGACATGGCCTTAGCTAAAAGCAAATCAGTCATGTTTTTGCTGATGCAAGAAAACTGTGTAGATTAGCCCTATGTTCTTTAGGGACAGTAGAAGTAGTTGTTCCATTGCCAACCTAGTCGATCATTGCAAACAGAATTGAAAGGAACACCTAGAGCACAAGGTTTTGGGCTGGTTCAGTCTTCTTTTCACAAAACCAAAAGAGTGGTCATACCTCCCTTTCTGTTCACAGGAAAACAAAGCCAAGTTTGCCCAGTACCTGGAGCAGGAGTACAAAGTGAAGATCAACCCAGCTTCCATGTTTGACGTGCAAGTCAAGAGAATTCATGAATACAAGCGGCAGCTCATGAATTGTCTACATGTGATCACCATGTACAACCGTGAGTAAAGTTGTACAGCAAACAGAGTGTTTTATTTATAGCTTTTCTGCTTGCATAAATGTAACAGCATTGCTTTAAAACAGAATCAAATGGTAAACCAAAATACCTAATAATTTATAAAGACTTACAATCTGAAACAAAAATTCTACCAATCAGTGTGAATAACAGAACATTTTAGGGTGCTCATTTTAAGCGTGATGCACAGTCTACAGAAATAAAATAAGAACTATTCAAATTGTGAGGGTCATAAGGAAAGATACTGCTGCCCTGGCTTAATTCCAGGTCCTGTCTCCCTGGTGGCTTAGATGCCTTTACTTCTTTTTGAATCTTTTTTCAAAGCCAGTAATTCTCACCAGGTGCCTGATGGATTCACTTAACGACCAAGTGATTTACCTCACAACTGGTGTGATTCACTTAAGAACCACGGCAATGAAGGTTGTAAAATCATGAGGCGTGACTCATTTAGCAATCACCTTGCTTAACAATGGAATTTTTTACCTCAATTGTAGTCATAAGTTGAGAACTACCTGCTAGTAACTTTCCTTTATTAAAAATAAATGGGAATGTTGCATTTTGTACTAGTAAACTTCCTTTATTAAAAATAAATGGGAATGTTGCATTTTGTACAGAAAAGAGTCAGTTCCCACATAGATATCCCTTGCCTTCACAGAAAATAAAAATTAGGTGATTTCGATTGTATCCTTTATTTGGAAATATTCTTCTCAGAAAAATGACATAGTGGCAGAGAAGCTAGAAGAATGTGGAGCCATCAAGGCCAGTTTGTCTTCTGCTAAAGGAGAGTTTTGTGGTTTGACCAAGTCCTCTATAAAAGTCACTTGATGTCAACCATCCTACTCGGTCATCTCATAAAGAAGGACTCCTGGCCCTTTGCTTTCACCAAAAATATATTTTACTAAGCCAAAGTGGTTACAGAAATAGTGAATCTGGATCTAGCATTTTCACCCACAAACTGCATGATTAACTTTCCCTTTTCCCCAGCTATCCCCCTGTTATAAGTCAATGTCCAATTGGGCACCTTCATATTGTTTAGGTAATGGACCCTCAGTTTGCGGCTTTCCAGCTCTGTGTTCCAATGGGCGACCTTGGCTGACGGGTGTGTCTCACACCTTGGGCCAACACGGCTTGGTTCCCATCCCAACCCCGATTCCTCTCTACATTCCAATCTCTCTTCTCCCCCCACCCCCATAGTTACTAATGTCAGGCTATCAGCTTGCAATGTGAGGTTAGAAGAATGGCAGCCATGACACTTGAAGAAAATATTCATAACATTATCTGAGAATTCCAGAGATGTCCATCAGCACCCTCAAAATTAGAAACTTCTTGTCCAGGAAGGGCAAAGTAAGCAAATTGGCAGCAGTTGTTTTTAGAAAGAGCTGAGCTGACATGATGGGCCTCAAAGACAGCAACTCCAGGGAAGCAAAGGGAGATGAGAGCTGGAAGAGGCAAATAAGACTACTTAATGCCTGGACAGTAGTCAAGCTTAGGATCTCTTGTCTTTCTCCTTTGCAGGCATTAAACGCGATCCAGCGAAGCCATTTGTGCCCAGGACTGTGATAATCGGAGGAAAAGTGAGTGGTGAATTTGAGGCTCAAGATTCATCTTTTAGGTGTTTTGCAAAGCAAATTATAACATTGCTAGAAATGCCATTTTCTGCCTCTATCCTGAACTCTCAATACTAATCCATTTTTAATTATGCAAATAGGTAGCATTTTTTTAAAATTTGATTTGTCAATCACTTACAGGATAATAGATATAAGTATAAACATGAGTAAGAATACAGGAAATAGGTATGAATAAATGGGGACAATAGGACAAGGACGGAAGATACGATGGTGCACTTATGCACACCCCTTACAGACCTCTTAGGAATGGTGTGATGTCAATAGTGGATAATTTAAGGTTAAAAAAATGGGGGTTAGAGGATGTAACAACAGAGTCAAGTAGTGCATTCCAGGCAATGACCACTTTGTTGCTTGTATAGGTAATATAAATATTAAATAAATTAATATTAAATATTAAATAAATAGGTAGCATTAAGAGAGACTTCCTTGTTTTCTCACTAGGCTAAATTGTATGTGTGTGTGTGCGCATGCTCACATGCACGTGTGTTAATGTACATATATACAGAGTAGACATGGATATATCTTATAAAAAATAGATTATCCAGGCGCCTTCAGAATTATGGCCTGTTAGCTTGTTTCTTATGGAAATCTCTGCCATTGCCTTCTTTTTTTTAAAAAAAAAATCTCTATTAAGCCTACAGTCCTGAAATTTCCTGAAATTTTCCTATTAAACTACTAACTAGATTCACATTCATTTGATATTTAAAGAGCAGTGAAGATGATAAAAATATTCATCCATCCATCCATCCATCCATCCATCCATCCATCCATCCATCCATCCATCCATCCATCCATCCATCCATCCATCCATCTATCTATCTCTATGTCTGTCTATCTGTCTGACTACCTATCATCTATTTACTCTCTCTCTCTTTCTCTCTCTCTATCTTCAGTAAAAGTTAATCCTCCTTAAACATATGCATCTATTAATATCCCATTTCCCCCTGCCACCTGTCCCCCCAGGAAAAATATCATGCACTCTAGCTCACTTTTTCCAAATGATGCCTTCTAGGTGCACTGGAGTTATGCAACTCTCCAAATTCTTTCGGGCCTCTTTGGAAATTCTGAGAGTTGTAGTCCCATTTCATTTGAAAGCGTAGCAGGTTGGGTAAGGCTGCTCTGACAATTTCTTAGATGCTAGTAGTCAGAAGATGCTTGCTTGGTTATGTTGGTTTTCTGCAGCTTCTGCAGGTTTTATTCAGTTTGGGATTAGAAGTGGTAGCCATGAATATCATAATCTCATCTCCTAACTGCTGCATTGCTTTCTTCCTTCCAGGCTGCTCCTGGGTATCATATGGCTAAAATGATAATAAAGTTGATCACTGCTGTAGGCCATGTAGTAAACAACGATCCTGGGGTTGGAAACAAGCTAAAGGTCATTTTTTTGGAGAATTACAGAGTTTCGCTGGCTGAAAAAGGTAATGCTATCCATCTTGAGGTACCAGGTTGGGATATGTAGGAAAGAGAGCAGTTTGATGACTAATAGTCATGCTATGCCTAAGAAATTAATGAATAGGGCTGACCAGAGTTTAAAGTCCTTGAACAAAGAATTAAGTTGGATGCTGTTATACTATTCATCCAGTGATGGATTAGGAAGGGTTCTGGATGCATAGGTGTTGAATTTGAATGACTCCTGGGATTTTATACATCCTGCACTTATATTGTACTTAATATTAACAGCAACAAGAAATATTTCCTAACTCCCTATACTGAACTTCCTCCAGACCACGCCATTCATGGGAGCAGGTTTTTGGAAACAAAGTCCCAACTGGAAGTAATTCAAAGTGTTCCAGATATGGCTTTCCAGACATAGTAGTCTCTTTTCAGGATCAGATCATTCCCAGAACACCTTAAATCAGGGGTGTCAAATCGCATCGTCACAGCATCATCATGTGACATATTGCAACTTCCCCCCCCCTTGTTAAACTGGGTGTGGGCGTGGCCAGCAGGTGGTGCATCCAGCCCGCAGCCCGTGAGTTTGACACCCCTGTTTTAAATCATTTGCGGTTTAGAGGATTTGCTTCCAGAATCTTATAGACTGCTTCACTTAGTTGAAGGAGAGCAAAATATTCTGGCTTCTTCTACAAGGTTGTATCTCAGATTGATAAGTTTTGTGCATCTCTTTTACTTGTATTATGTAATCATTCATAATAGCAATTTGTCTTCTTTTTTACTATCTCATAAGAAGGGGATGAAAAGGTCTTATCTTTGTGCACCTCAATTAGGTCTCATAAATGAAATTTTAAGTGTGAAACAAATATACAAGCCTACCTAGATGTTAAAACTGGCGTTGAAATGTAACACTTTTCAGGATGCTGAATAATAACCTCCTATGAACAGAAACATCTCTGCTTTCTTAGATCTTTTCCAAACGAATTGGCCGGTTTTATTATTGTAATTCTTACCAGCTCTAACACGAAGGAGCCTGGCACCCACCACAGGAGATGTTTGAGTTCAAAAAGTGCACAAGTCAGCAACATGGAATCAGCCTTGCTACATGGCCAACCAGTTGGATAGACTTAGTCTCTAATCAGTCTCTAATCATTAGCTCTAATTTACTCCTGGTTGCATCTGAACTCAACTTCTCAAGTTTCCTATGTAGAACTTCTCATCCATCCCCATAAAATTTAAGTCTTCACTCTGCAGCTTAGAAAGTGATTCATCTGTTATACCTGGGTTCTGATCATGTATAAATGTTTTAAATACATGAATAAATAAATGCTGGGTTGTTATCTCAAGTATTCTGCAGTGTTACATTTTGTGGCAAATTCTGCTCTGTCCGTGCACGATTTATTCTGCTGAGGACTACTTAGGAGTGTGTGAGTTTCTTGCTTATCTCCGTGCTTTAAAAAGTAAGAAGATTAAAATGCAAATGTGGGAAAAAGGAATGCCCAGATACTAAGATAATATTTTTTTTGGCAGTAATCCCTGCTACAGATTTATCAGAACAGATTTCAACAGCTGGCACCGAAGCCTCAGGCACTGGCAACATGAAATTCATGCTCAATGGGGCTCTGACCATCGGAACCATGGATGGTGCCAATGTAGAAATGGCAGAAGAAGCTGGAGAAGAGAATCTTTTCATATTTGGCATGAGAGTGCCAGATGTGGAAGAGTTGGACCGGAGAGGGTAAGACTGGTTAGCAGTTCAACTTGGGCACAAGTGGTTGTAGGAAATTTTTTCAATTGTCTGGAGTTTTGGACTTCCAAAACTTGAATAGAGAAGGAAGACACAGCATAGACTAATGGTGTTTGTGTGACCTCACATTTTAATGGCATAAGATTTAGCACTATGAGTGCTATGAATTTATATTATTGGGATGAAACATGCATGGGGTTCTATTCATGCCTTAATAAGAACCTAGGCCTGGAGATAGTGTGTTCTCTTGAACTTCCCACTTCCTGCAGTCATTTTTTTTTTTTGGTCCATGTGTTAATGTCACATTAAAAGGGGGGAATGGGTCAAATCAATCAAAATGCTGAAATAGATATTGAGTTATATGTTCATGGATTAATTGCTTTAAATGAAAAACATCTGAGCATTTCAGATAATAAACCCTCATGCTATGGATCCCATCTGTTAGGGAACTATGGTCTCAAGAGGCAAGCCTTTTCTGCCCTAGCACCCAACTTCTGGAATCTTCTCTCCCTGACACAAGGTTAGGTCCATCCCTGTTAACATCCCACTAGTCCAAGGGTCTTCAGACTTGGCAAGTTTAAGACTTGTGGACTTCAACTCCCAGAATTCCTGAGCTAACATGACTGGAGGAGTAATTCCGGGAGTTGAAGTCCACAAATCTTAAAAGCTGTCAAGTTTGAAGACCCCTGCATTAGCCCCTCAAGAACTGGTTGTCATCTCCCTGGGGATGCCAGGGACCTGTGAGACCTTGTGATAGCTCCCTTACTGCGGTTAACATTATCTTCTCTTAAGCTTGTGCTTTTAATATATTTTTAGAAATGAATGCTTTTATGTGTATTGTTTTTAATTAAGTGTTGTCTGCCACCCAGTGTTCCTTTTTTAGGGAGATGGGCAACCATACAAATTTGATCGATCAATAACATAAAACATCTTTTTGATTCAGTGCCTCCACCCCACCCAAAATAGGCCCTGATTCTTTCCCATGATGCATTTCTGCATCTCGTCTCCGCTCTTTGTGTGCACCTTTCCTGGTCTGCTCTCAAGATGAATATTCTGTGGCACCTGTTGCTCATCTAATAGTGATATTATAGTGGTATTATAGGATAATAGTGACTTCTTCCACCAGGTACCATGCTCAGGAATATTATGACAAGCTTCCTGAATTGAAGCAAACTATGGATCAGATCAAGAGCGGTTTCTTTTCACCACAACAACCTGACCTGTTCAAAGATTTGGTCAACATGCTGTTCCACCATGACCGGTGGGTAAAGATGCCTTATAGATTTGTTCTTTAAATGGCCATTTGAGTCCTTATCATTTGTTAGACAGACATTTGAGTACAAATAAGGTCAGTTTTCCTTGGTCCATGTAATTAAAAAGCACCAAGAAACTTAAACCCAGTATGAAGTTCTTCCCTTAAATCGTTTTGTTATGCCAATGAAATTCAGGGTAGAGTTGTAGGGTAGTGGTATGTGCATACACATCACAGTTTTAATGTGTGGCATCACCAATTGTTAAAGAAAATGTGTTACTCCCCACCCAAGTGGTGACTTGTCAAAGGATTTTTGCAGTATCCTCTATTCTTGGAGAAGGTTTTGGACTACTACTGGGCCAGTGGACTAATTCTAAATTTTGGGGACATACTTTTGCTTTGCTCACAAATTAGAGGATATGGGGTGGTTTGTTATCATAGAGTACCCAATTATCAGGAACAGACTGGTGTGGTTGTTCCCCACCATTCTCTTTTGCTTTCACAGATGCTTCTTATAAGACATGTTAAAATGTATTGTTCTGGACACTTCTGGAATACAGTATTTGTTTCTATTCTGGACCATTCTGATCTAACCATTCTGCTCATGGTCTGGCAGTTTCCCAAAAGTTAATGCTTGGAACAAAAATTAATTTGTGCCACTCCAAAGGGAATGTGTTGGAACAGTGAATTTCAAGACTAACCAGAGGTTTAGGCCTACCAATCTAAAATTCAGATGGCCTTCAAAGCATTTCACACTTTTTGGTTTTTTCTTTTGGATAGGTTTAAAGTATTTGCAGACTATGAAGCTTACGTCAAGTGCCAAGACAGTGTCAGTAAACTCTATATGGTAAGCTGGATGTGGAGAATATTTATAAATTTTATTGTGTACTGTAAGTATCTGAACAAATAATCAAAGTGCAAATCACCAGTGCTCTGTCCTGTGTATTCCTGACCACACAAATCAATCTTATCTACAATGAATTTGTACAACACACATACCCAGTTAAATTAACCATGTTTACTGTATCAAATTTTCTGAGTTTGCATGACATACTGGACTAACCACTAACTGAATTTGATGGATTAACAAAAACTAGAGTAAAAGTGATTCATCATGTATCATGCCAAACTACTCAGACTTTATTTTTTTCAATGCCTTACCCAATGTATCTGCTTAGTATGCGTGACTTGAAAAGAATTCACTTTGTTGCCATTAAAAAATTGGCTTGAGGTGACCAATTTTATTCACTACAGTGACTAAATTAGTATGCTTTTAAGTCTTTCTATATCTCAAATTCTATTACTCTATAATTAGTGACCCAGATTCTACTAGTGAACAAATAACTAAAATAATTAAGCAACTTTTACAGCCCAGAGAATGCTGCAAAGCGCTATGGGGCAGTATATAAGCCTAAAATGCTAATGCTATTTTACTTAAGACAGCATTAGATTATAGCTAGGTCATTAAGATGATCAGAGTATGTCTAATTTTATGGACAGTAGCATAGCATACTCAAGAAAATGAAAGCATTACTGATCTGATAAAAGCAACTGTGCATAAAATAAATCAATTGTTTGAGTACTTCACTAGATAGGAGTCTGTAGAGATTCTCAGTCATTCAGGCCATGGTTGACCCAAAGGTGCTTTTTCAGGAGGCAACTGGACTTTCTTGTTTTTTCTTTGAAGATGTTTCACTTCTTATCCAAGAAGCTTCTTCAGCTCTGACTGGATGGTGGGGAATGGAAGGATTCATATTCCTTGCAGATAACTGGTCATTTGCATCCTTTTAGAGCAGGGGTGTCAAACTCACATTGTCATGGCGTCATCACATGACGTATTGGGACTTTTTTCCCCTTTGCTAAACCAGGCATGCGTGTGGCCAGCACATGACACATCTGGCCCATGGGCCAGGAGTTTGACAGCCCTGTTTCAGAGGGTTGTTGCAGTACTTGGGAGGTCTATCTATGTCCTTAGCCACCTGAGTTCCTGTAGTCTGCCATTTTTTCCTCTGGAAATCCATTCCTACTCTCCGCCATTCAAAGGATGTTCATCCCAAATTGTATAGCTAAAAGTCTATAGAGATTCTTGTCCCAAAGGTGTTAGGTTTTTTTTCACAAGGCAACTGTACTTACTTGTTTTTTCTTTGAAGACATTATTCTTTCTTTAAAGACATTTTATAATTCCTATTACTAGATAGGAATTATAAAATGGGCCTTTAAGTCTTTTTAGGAAGGTGCAGCGTAACAAGACATGTGTGGGACGTAGTCCAGAGTTGCAGGAGGGAAGGACTGTTTCCCAGGGAGCAAAGAGACAGCATAGCTTGAAATCTTTAGTCCGCAGGAAAAGGAGGAAGGCAGACAACGTTCCCTTCACCACAGGGTATATCTAATAGTTATACAGATAAGTGCTTTAGTTTTTGGCAAGATGTCTGCCTGTAAGCAAACAATAAAGTACTCCTATTATTCTTGGTTCCTTTGGCCTAGCAGGACATGAGCTATGGATTTGAGAGTTTTGGTAGTTTCTTCTCCATGAGAATATAATCTTAACTCAAAAGGCAAGTCTCTTCAAATTTGGCAAGTTTAAGACTTGTGGACTTCAACTCCCAGAATTCCCAAGCTAACATGACTGGAGGAGGAATTCTGGGAGCTAAAGTCCACAAGTCTTAAAGCTGTCAAGTTTGAAGACCCCTGTTGTAAGGGATGGTTTTGTATTTGCCCCCAAGGACAGCTTTTGGAAAGACATTGGAATATGTTAGTGTTTGCGATTTAAACATCTAGCTAACCTACAAAAGGAGCAGGACTGCTCAGGAATGTGTTCCTCGATAGGGCAGATCGACAATCACAATGTCCTGGGGGTTATGTGAGCACCTTTTATGACCTTCTGACAAGCAAAGTCAATGGGGAAGCCAGATTCACTTAACAACCGGGTGACTAACTTAACAACTGCAGTGATTCACTTAACAAGTGAGGCGAGAAAAGTCATAAAACTTAGGAAATTTCTCGCTTAACATACATTTTGGGCTCCATTGTGGTCATAAGTTGAGGACTACCTGTAGGTGGCTTAAACAGTAATAGCATTTGCAGCTTCTTCATAGTAACTCTTCCACTTCTGACAGATCTACCAGTTCTTATTTCCCTCCTCCTCTTAATACGTTTGGAAATTAGTTTAGTTTAGTTCACCACATAACCAAGGCTGCTGCTGGCTGAACCGACAGAAACAGTCCCAGATAGATTTATTGTATGTTATATTCCTTCCTCAATGTAGAGGGACGCTGTATGAGCAGCTGCATGTCTGTGGAGATTCTCAATCATCCAGGTCATGGTTGTCTCAAAGGTGCTTTTTCAAGAGGCAACTGGACTTTCTGGTTTTATTTTGAAGACGTTTCGCTTCTCATCCAAGAAGCACCTTTGGGACATCTATGAGCAGTTGATTTTCAACCTCTTATTTGTAAATCCCATTCTAAGAGAATCACAAGTGATTGGCAGGCATATGAGGCTTAAATTAAACACCAAAGACAGCTGCTTATTTGCTTCTTTTCAAACACCTGGGAGGTTTGGATGAATTCTGTGCGCACTGTGTCTTCTTTCTCTTCCTCCTGCTCCACTCCACTCCTTCCAATCAAGCACAAAATGAAAAACACTTACAAATGATTTCTTAAACAAAAAAAGCATCAAATCATTCCTAAAATAGTGAACTAATTTGCCAAATAGAACCCTAAAAGCTAAAATAATGTTTATATAAGACTGAACAGCTTTCGAACAAACTCCTGTCCCATTAGCTTCCTCCTGCCAACACACAGTAGAGATGTGGGGTTTTAGCACTCAAACCCTGAGTGCTCAGCTCAGTAGACAGCAACAGCTGTCTCTCCTATGTTCTTTCACCTTGAGATTCTTTTTACTGGCTTCAAGCCTTACAATATATCCTATACCTCTCTTGGTCTGCCTCTTCTAATATACTGAACTAGCAGGGTACCCGTGCTTCGCTACGAAACTGTGTGATCGGGCAAGTTTTTGGGGAGGAAAGTAAGAGGGGGAAATTGTGCCTCTGGCCACCAGCATCCAACGGTATTCATCTGGCTAGATGAATCCAGTCAGTGTGTGAGAGAGTTGAGGGATGTTTGGAAACTGAAACAGTATTTGCTGTGTGAGCAAGGAGACAGCAAGGAGCCTGGGTGTGGCTTAGCTCAACTGCAGTTGGAACGGATTTCTTTTCAGTGTGAGAGTTGAGGGCTATTTGGAAACTGAAACAGTATTTGCTCTGTGAGCAAGAAGGAGACGGCAAAGAGCCTGGGTGTGGCTTAGCTGAACTGCAGTTGGAACGGATTTCTTTTCAGTGAGAGAGTTGAGGGCTATTTGGAAACTGATTTCTTTTTAGGTGGGGAGGGGGAGTAGAACTCTAGCATCAGAGCGTGTTAATAATAATATAGGAAATACTAATGCTCTGATGGTCATTTCAAAAAATCCTTTGTTAGCGAGCACCTAGAAGCCAAGAGGAACATACATGCCAAATTTCAAGTTTGTAGGCTTTACAGTTCTGGAGATTTTGTGATGATGCATGAGCGGTATTTCACTTATACATATATATAGATTAACTTCCTCCAACTAGGTTTCCCTTAAAACTAGAACAGAGTTAGACTGATTCCTGTAATTGTTCCCACTATGCACTTTGCCATCAGATTAAGAGGACCACTGTGTTATACATCCATTCCTTCATCCATTCTTGTCTTTCACGAATGAAGATGAATATACACGTCCCAGGATAATATTGCAGGATCTAATCTGGTGGATCACAGTGATCAGCCTTCCAAGCTTTCAGTTGGTGCTGATACCCACCTCCAGGGAATTTCTCTCTAAGCAGGATGATTTCTTTTCTTTTCTTTCTGTTTTCTTTTCATCATAGTATTTACCAGTGGTGGGATTCAACCGGTGTTACTACTGGTTCGGTGATTAAGATTTGCTTCGCGCACATGCATGCAGTGTACAAAAACCTTTTGCTGTGCCGCCCGGACAGCTGAAAAGCACTGCGTGCAGGTGCACAGCGTTCGAAAAGCCACTTTTTCCTGCTTTTTCAACCTCAGCTGTGCCACACAAAGCAGCTGAGGTTAAAAAAGAAGGAAATAAAGGACAGGTAAGAGCCCAGGTGGGCGGGTGGGCCCAACAGCAGCAAACACAGAACCGGTTCAGTGTCTGATGCTCTTCAGAGCTACCGGTTCTATAGAACCAGGCAGAACCGATAGCATCCCACCCCTGGTATTTACCATTGTCCCTGCTACATGATGCAGGGGACACTTGGCAGTGATATGTGCCATCAGAGGAAGTTAAAACAATATTATCTGTTATTTTGGTAATACAAATTACACATCACTGAACCTTGGGGAAACATTTTGCACCAATTTTACTTTCTTTTCAATCCAAAATTAATAACTGTCCATATTTTTATGCCTTCTTGAAGGACTGCAGAAATGGGGTTGGGTTATACCTCTAGAAGCTGTTACTTGCTTGCTCCTGATCTAACATGTATTGCTGGTTAGGAATTTGAGATGAATTACAGGGTGTCATACCTGTTCAGTAGTCATCCTGAATCTGACTGTCATGCAAGAGCCGAGTTCACATACGCTCTTTCTTACAGAACTCCAAAGAATGGACCAAAATGGTCATCAGGAACATTGCAGCCTCTGGGAAGTTTTCCAGTGACAGGACCATCAAAGAATATGCCCGTGATATCTGGAATGTGGAACCTTCTGATCTCAAGATCCCACCACCCAATGTACCTCGCGATGTTGCCGATGAGATGCTGGCCAATGACTCAGCTGAAAAGTTGAGTATGTGAATCTGAGAAGTCCTGCAACTCTGCATGGATAACACACAGCACCATACATTGGGAAAAGCATGCGTAGATTTGATTAGCAAGTAACGGTAATAAAGTGGCCTCTTCTTTTCTCTTTTGCTTATAAGCACTGAGAGCAGTTAGGGAATCTTATGCATTGTCTACATCAAGGGTCTTCAAACTTGCAAGTTTAAGACTTGTGGACTTCAATTCCCAGAATTCCTAAGCTAACATAACTGGAGGAAGAATTCTGGGAGTTGAAGTCCACAAGTCTTAAAGCTGTCAAGTTTGAAGATCCTGGTCTACATTTATCTGTTCTCTCCCTTCCTTTCTTTGGGAACTTTGAGAATTGTTCCCAAAAATTTTGCTCTAATACATTATATTTCACCTGATGGGTCCTAAGTGTGCTGGATCATTTATCTCTCATGCTAGCTGATATTCTCACTGCCCATGCTAGGTACCAGTCCCAGCACAACTAGAGAGGACCAGCTTGAAATAGGCCACCCAAACAGTTCAAAGGGTGCATTTTTACTAATTTATAGCGTTATTAAAAAATGCCATTAGCAAACCAAATAATCTGTTTACTCAAAATTGTTGACTTTTAATGAAAATGAAAGGGCTTGTCCAAGATATATATTCATAAAGTGAACTATCAGCAGAAAGAATACATTTTAAGAGAGGAAGTCTTCAACAAAGAATTCGTCTAGTTTTTTAATAGAATCTTCCTTCAAGGGGTGAGCATGTGCTCCTACTTAGCAATGATAATTCAAATAATGATAATTATTTGAAGTATTCTGAAGAGCACCTTGTGCTTTTCAGCAAGTGTTAATTACAGCACTGAGCCTTTGAGGAAGTTGCCCTGTATGGTACACTATAAATCAAATTGATTCAGCTGTGAGTAAGAAGACATGCTGAGACTAGAAAGGATGTTCTGCTGAAATAAGGCTTACAGTAACCAAGATAAGATGCATTTATAGAAAAAGAAGAAAGCTTTGGTAGGCTCAAAAACTCCTGTATTATTGTCTAGTAATGTTGTTCTGTAGTGTACATTTGCAAATTCACACGGTAAAATAAACTGAAATCCACTTTTTTATCTTCCAACTGTTCGTTGTTTTAATATCCATGGCAAGAACTGATGTCTCCTTGAGGTTGCTATGAAGTCACTGTCCACTTGATTGCTGATCCTACGTAATGCTCTGGAGGAAGTCTCTGTTATGGAACACACAAAGAAGTTATGTTTCTTGGATTTGGTGTCCTATAAAATCAACCTCCTGCTCAAATTGTCTGATTCACTTGGCCAGGGTTGTGTAGGCTATTCTATGCAGAAAAAGTATGAAACTATCTACAAACTGTGGCAGCAGAAGCCGTAATTACACACATCCTTCAACATAATACCCTGCCTTTCTACACATAGGGAACTCAAGGCAGCTAAAAGTTAAGAATGAAATATTAAGCAATTAGAAAACAATATATCTGAATGTAATACTTTAAGCCCTGGTAGGCAGTGGTTAAAGTACAGTATTACAGGTAAACTCTGCCCACAGCCTGGAGTTCGATCCTGATTTTGGGGGGCGGGTCTCAAGGTTGACTTACGATGTTGGTAAAATGAGAACCCAGACTGTTGAGCGGAAAATATGCAAATAATGCTTCTACATTGCAGAAAGTGCTATAAAGCATTATGGGGTGGTATCAATGGTGGGATTCAAAAAAATTTACTACCGGTTCTGTGGGCGTGGTTTGGTGGGCGTGGCAGGGGAAGGATACTGTAAAATCTCCAGTCAGATGTGGTATTTGCTGGTTCTCCGAACTACTCAAAAATTTTGCTTCAGAACTGGGTCCAGAACTGGTCAGAACCTGCTGAATACCTAGGTGTCTAGGTGCTGTTGCTATTGCTTTTTAAACTAGGGCTAGAAAAAGAAATAGTCCACTGATCAGTCAGTGGAGCTCATCTGGACTTTCCCATTTATTGAGGTTCATCGTCCCCAACCCCATCACAGCAGTACAATATGTAGCAATAAAAACTGGGCAATTTGAGCAGGTATGGAACAGAAGTATTGCATGATAGATTTTCAGCCACTACTAGAGTTCCCTTTCTAAGTGAAATCTCTCTCTTGAAATCCCAGAAGCACTAGCTCACCTACTTGATTAAGCTACTGTTAATCAAGTAAGAGGAAATCTACATTTTGCCAGTAAAAATGGATTTTCTGTACTATGGCCTAGTTTATATAACAGACATCCTGAAATTTATTTAACACAACAGGAACTGTAAATGTGGTTGCTTGGGTTTTCATTTAATATATTCCACGAATTCTGTCCTTTGGGCTTATTCAGTAAAGAATTGTAAGCAAATCGTGGCTTCATATAAATATAATCAAACTTGTAGCGTATTGGGTTGGACTGTATTCTGTGTCCTTCCCAATCTCAAGCCACTGAAGCATCAAAAGAGAAAACTATTTTCACAGAAGTCTTAACAGTAGCATGAACTTGGCTCAGTGTGCTTACCTGAGAATGGAAGCGAGCTCAGGATGAGAGGAGATGTGGTCATGCCCCAAACCCATGGAAGATGGGAAGGAGAGAAACTTGATGTTGTCTTTCTTCTCAGAGGCACTGTGTGTGATCTCAAAAAGCTGTACGTGTAGAAAAAGAGGAGTGAGCATGAATCTCCAAGTGGACTGTTAAGTATTGCTGCACAACTGATTTCTCACCCCCTCAAGAATGGGTAATCCTCAACTTATGACCAGTGGTGGGATGTTGTAACTCACAGTTGTAACTCACTTTTTTCAGTGCCTTTGTAACTGAACAGTCACTTAACACACGGCTGAAGGTCAAGGAGACATAGTTCAATGGTGTAACTCAAACTGCTATCCAGCTCAGAGCCTCCCAAATCTGAACAAATTACTAAGTTATTAAATTACTAACTTCTTCTCTAGGGAATTCCCTTGAAGGCTTATGGAGCAACAGTACTGAAATAATCAGAGGCCATGGCCTCATTTCTACTGTTGAAATCCTACTGCTTATTCCTGGCTAATGTATAATTGTAACATGGTAAGCCACCCAGAGTAACCTGGTGGTGAGATGGATGGCCAATAAATTTAATAACTAAATAAAAAATGCACATTTGCAGGAGCCCCTCCCATTGGAAGCTGGATTGTCCCTTGAAATAAAAGATGGGTTGCTCCGTTTGTTCAGGATATGGCTATGTTATCAAGGATTTAGGACAATGGTTTAAAGGGAGATATTAAAAGAAAATCCTGATAAGCCCTGGTGGCACCATGGTTAGAATGCAGTATTGCAGGTGGACTCTGCCTACAGCCAGGAGTTTAATCCTGACTGGTTCAAGATTGACTCAGCCTTCCAGCCTTCCAAGGTCAGTAAAATGAAGACCCACATTGCTGGGGGCAATATGCTGACTCTCTAAACCAGTGGTCGCCAACTGGTGGGCCGCAGCCCACTGGTGGGCCGTGAGAAAATTTTGGTGGGCCGCAGAGAAATCTCACCCCCAGAGCACCCGCCCCCCAAAGCAATTAATCCAGGCTGCACAGAAACACAAGGCTGCTCAGCCCACATGGCCCGCGGGAACCCTCCCTGCCCACTCACTCCTTACCTGGCAAACTTGTCTGCTAAGTTGCTATTTTTCCTTTTTCCGACCATCATCTGTTCTGCTGTGCTGGGAAATTTAGATTAGCTAGGAAGCAGGAAATGGTTGGATTTCTTGCTTTCTAGCTAAGCACAGCCGAACCTCCCTTAGGACCGAAGGTTTGCTTGCAAGCAAATTCAGTGCAGACTCACGGCAAGCAAATTTGAGAGACTGAGCTAGCCGATGGCAGATAGATAGATCACTGAATGATTCTGTGAGCAACTCATTCTGCCTGCCTGCTTTGCCTGATTTTGGATAAAAGTTACTTTTTTTAAAATAAAAAATTCAATATTTACATACATGGTTTATTGTGAGTTAATTTTGTGAGTTTGCTTGCAAGCAAATTTTATGTGACAGACTGAGCTAGCCAATGGCAAATAGATAGATTTCTGAATGAATCTGTGACTCTGTGAGCAACTCAATCTGCCTGCTTTGCCTGATTTTGGGTAAAAGTTGCTCTTTTTTTTAATAAAAAATTCAATATTTATATAAATATTTATAATATTTACATACAAGCCATGCCCAGGCAGTCACATGACCACCAAGCCACACCCACAAATTAGGCTATGCCCACAGAACCAGTTAGTGATCCCTGGGATCTAAAATTATGAGTTTGTTGGTCCCTGAGGTCCAAAAGGTTGGCGACCCCTGCTCTAAACCATCCAGGGAATTCTGGAAAGCACTATGGGGCAGTATATAAATCTAAATGCTATTGCTATAATTTCTCAGAAAAGGAAGACCTCAATTTTATAATGACTGATCTACAATGAGGAAGAACCATCCTGAGAACTTCTCTCCAGTACTAGAACAGGGGTCCCCAATCCCTGGTCCATGGAGCAGCATTGGTTCATGGCATGCTAGAACCAGACTGCATAAACAGGCGAAGCCCCATCCACAGGATGCAAGCAGCACACGAGACCATGCCCCCTCCAGTCCACAAAATCTGGTGCCCAAAAGGCTGGGGGTCTCTGTACTAAAACTTCCACAAATAATCAAAGGTATATTTTGCTAACGTCATTTGCATTTTTTTCCAAGACTGCTATGGAAACATAAAACTATATTGATGATGCATGCTGCAAAAGTACAATTCACCATTAGCAGAAAAACAAAACCTGTTGTTATATGCAGTGACTTTCCACTTATATAGCTTATACATATAGAAAGATATCTATATTTTTGTATATTATCCCTTTATACTGTATATATGTATAACCCTTTTAAAAGAGTAATTGACTGCAGTTACTGTTTAGTTACCTTTCTTCCATGTTGTACAGGTATCATGTAGTCATCTTCTGAATGCAAGATCAAAATAGGACTAGATAACGCTTTGACACTATGGACAAGAAAAACAATGTTTTAACTCAATTCAACTGTTTTTGGAGATCTTCATCCTGCTTTTCAATCAAAAACTGTCTTTCAAGTAGTTGAGTAACATTTCTAACCATTAATGAGACCTTAAGTCATTGTGGGCTGTCACCCTTTGATTCCTGGCAAAATATCTCATGAAGTCATAGGATTACATAGCTCTCCCACTCCAAAGATGGAGAGAAATCCACTTTTATAGGACCAATAAAGGATAGTATTTGTAGCTCAGGTTTGAAATAAAGAGTCCCTGGTGCTCTCTGAGTTTGTTTTATTCTGCAGACGTTTCATTACTCAAACTAAATAACATCATCAGTGCTACTAGTTACCTAGTTCGGGTAATAGAGTAGAATAACAGAGTTGGAAGGGACCTTGGAGGTCTTCTAGTCCAACCCCCTGCTTAGGCAAGAAACCCTACACCACTTCAGACAAATAATGAAACATCTGCAAGAAAACCACCAAGCTCAGAGAGCACCAAGGACTCCTCACCCTTGTAGGAAGAGCTCTTAACTTAGGAAAACACTTCAGAAATGTTTAAAATTTTTAAAA